ACCAATACATACACCATCTTTCAGCATCAACAGAAATGCCACTTCCATGAACCTCCTCTGATTCCTCTGAATTTTCCAAGGTCTCTGCCCCTGGGCCTCTTCAGCCATTGCCACAGTCCCCCTGAATACAGAGTTATTTCTGTAAATGTCATATTTCTTCCACTAGACTGTGTGCTACTCAAGGGAACAGATGAGGCTGGTTCATCTTTATTTTCCTTTCAGTGCATAGCACAACATCTCATGTGTAGTTGGTGCTAAATTTTTGTTGGAAGGATGGCTCACTTCCTGGATAGATAGTTATTGTTTAATAAAATGAATTGCTATAGCAGTTAGGAATTGAAATATGGGCCGGAGGAATATTTTCAAATGTAGAAAGGAATAACTGCTTGATGATGAACACTGACAGCATGAAATAATACACAAAATGAGCAAAAGTAGGTTATCTAAATGTTTTTGATGCTTGGAATCTGACAGTGCTCAGGCACCTGGCCCTAAGATGTAAATGAATATATAAAATAAATAAGATTGCAAGTTGGGATAAAGGCTTGTGAAAACAGCTGGGTGAGGCCATTGGGCTGTTTTCCCCCATCTCATCTTGCCAGTTAGCTGTGTGGAGTTGAGAACTGGCCCTCCCACCCAGCCCCATGTGCTGGGAAAATCACATTACTGTGAGAAGCTGAGACATGGTGATCAATCATTTGCACCATTTGTACCAAAATATAACCATATGAACTGATCCTACCTGGCAGAAGAGCACAGCTGTCCATGTACTGCCTTTTCCCCATCAGCCCACCTCTCATGGAGAGTTGAGAGTTTGACTCCTTCCTGCATCTTCCCTTCCGCTTGAGTTTTGGAGCCTTTGCTCATGCTATCCTGGCGGGCCTTCCCCTGGAAGGCATGGCCAAAGGCCTGAAAATCATGACAACACTGCTCTCTACAAAGTGCCTCACTCAGCCTCACTCACTCTTTCAGTCCTCATAACAGCCCAGTGAGGCTGCTGACCATCCATATCTATTTACAGATGGAAAGATGGAGGTTCAGAGGAGCTAAGAAACTTGCCGGAGAGCAGAGGGAAGAGGCGGAGAAGACTCGAGCAATCCACATGTGTTACACTCAGTTCCTCATCCCCAGGAGTGGCAGACCCATGTATCACTGCCTCGGGGCAAGACCTCAGTGCAGTCTAGGTGGGAAGCAAGAACATGTAGTGCCAGCAGCCAGGGGACCCTAAAGGTACACTGCCCAGTGGGAGGACGAACACAGAGCACATGTGTGGGCCTGTTCAACACTTGTTGACAGCTTATGGAATAGGACAACTGGTTCAACATAGGAAGGAGCTGATAGGATGGGAAGAGTGGGGAGTGGAGAGGAAAGGAGAGGAGAGCAAGCTGCATGCTACTGAGACTCTCAGGAATGTGCTCTGGGCTCCGGGGCTGGTGCAGGAGCACGTGGGAACAGCTCACATACCCTGTGCTTGGACCTCTTGCTCCTCACACTCAGGGCTCAGTCCCAGGAAGGAGACCCTTGGTCTCACTCCAGGTCTTAAGGGACAGCAGGGAGCTCTGGGACCTTCCTAACAGCTAGAAGGTTGACAGGAGGGAAAAGATGTCAGGCTGGAACAGAGGACGCCCGGCAAGGGTGTGTGAGCATTCCTCACCGCCTCGCTTCCGCAAGATGGCCTTGTGCTATTTTGATCCTGGGGCATCAGATGGTCACTTCCTTTGTTGGGGTTACATCACCCCCCCCAAGGCAGGCCTTCTGAGTGGCTACTTCCAGGGTGGCTTCACTGATACCCTTGTCCTGCCATTATAGGATTGCAGCTCACTCTCACCCTCTTTCCCTTACTCCTTGGTGCCTCAGGTTGACCCAACCACAGCTTCTCAAGCAGATTTCTTGGTCTACGTCTCTGCATGGACCTCTTAGAGCTTCTCCGTCCTGCTATGTTGCTATGTGGGACAGACACAGACACAGACACACACACACACACACACACACACACTCATCCACACATCTCTCTCCTCTTTGGCAGAGAAGATACACATCTTGTTATCTCCAAAGAAAGTCTTTCTTTCCAAACTCCCAAACCCTAATAGCTTATTCTTCTAAGGTGGATGATGACCTAATGGTAGCAAAGCCAGGTTCCAGCCACCCCCTCTGCAAGTCTTACACGGATGACTTAGCACCTCACTGTGGAATGAGAGGATATTTTTGCACTTACTATTTTCTTCTTTACCTATGGACTTAGGGAACAACCCCATTTTAGCATCCCGTCACAGGAACACAGGCACAGAGGTTTAGAGAGCAAATGTCTCTCCTTTCCACAGTGTTCATCTTGGGTCCCAAGCTGCCCACAACTTCCTCCTACCTGTGTAACTACATTTTTATCACCAACCCCAGCTGTATGACCCAAAGATGGCATAAAAGAAGGTCTCACCTGCCTAGGTGGATGCGTGATTTCAGTTAAAAAGCCTGCACCAGGACCTGGAAGCCTCGTTAAGCCTGGCTTGACATTAAAGGACTGTGAGGCCCCGGACAAGTCAGTTGCCCTCTGTGTTTACCATCTGATCTTAAAATCGAAGGGATTGAGCTTGGAGACCCAGAGATCCTTCCAGCTCTGGGATGCTGAGTTGGTCTGGGACTATCCAACGCCAGGTCAGGGCAATTCAAGGGCAGAGATGATGCCAGAGTTCCTTTGGGCAGCACCTGGCATTTCCACTCCCATCAATGAGCTGCTGGCTTTATTTCAGGTGTCAAGACTGTCACAGGATCTATCTCCTCCCCACTTCAGGATAGAGACAAAACAAAAGGGCAGGCTCCTCGATCTGGGGGGCACCGGGGTGATCTCAGGCTTTACTAGGTTAAGGAAGCTGCATGTTATGAATAGCTTGTCCCTGGACCCAAAATAGGCAGCACAGGGAGTGATTTCCAGGCTCACCCAGATAAAGTTAAAAATATCATGGGCTCAGGGATGTTCCCAGTCATAAATCAATCAGCCAGGACTATTTCTGTTCTTATTTCTTGCCCACGGTTCCTCCTATGACCTCCATCCTGTCCTCCCCATCCTGGCCTCCCAGCCACTATGGTTCTGGAGTAGGAAGAAGCTCATCAGCTGCTCTGACAACAGTGTGGCAGCATGGCCATCCCAACGTGGGAAACCTAACCCTGCCCACAAGAGCCACCATCAACCTCCATGAGCCTGCTTAGCGTGGATGCACTTTGACAGGCAGATCAACTCTCTGTATAGGCCAGGTCTCCCCACCTGCAAGGCTGAGGAGCTGCCCAGGGGTTGTGGTGGGTGTCTAGGAGTAAACAACCCGAACTCCCCTCTGCGTGGCTAGGGGTAGGGTTTCTCCTTCATGTGATTACAGGGATTACACCTGTCTCCAAGGACTGCTGGGAGGATTAAATGAGACCCTGTAGGTAAAATGTTAAACTTGGCACCTGACACATTGCAGATGCTCAGAAGATAAGAATTGCTTCCCCCCCTGCTAGCCTTCCATCTGGAGCTCAAACTCCCACAGCCAGCCCAAGTCTTTAAAGAGCTCCTAGTGGTTTTTTCATCAGCCTGTCAGGTACAAATTCAGCTCTTGGGGAGGCCCTTGAGGATATTTGATCTACTCCGTGAACCTAAATCAGTATTTTAGTAAGGAACCACAGATGCGATGCAGCTGGGCCAGGTGCAAAATCCGTACCTTTACTGCCCTCTGCAGGCTCCAGTGCTATCCTGCAGGCAGTGTTGACTACTTGCCTTGTGCAGCACCCAAAACGACCCGGGCATCTCACTCCATAGATTTGCGGCACTTTACAGATTAACACAACAGGGCAAGGCCAGGTGTCTGAGGAGGACAACACCTCGAGGCAACACAGTGATGCATAGTTCACAAAGCACTCGCTTTTTGGGTTTAGTGTCAGGTCTGTTCTTGATTGGGTACCTAAGCACAGCAGGGAATTCTGGGTCATTGCTCAGTCCTGACAGCCTCACTAATAACAAATAACAACTCATAGATCCTGCCCCAGAACATTCCAGAAAATAATCTGATAAACAGACCTGGGTATTTCACTGTAATATCACTTTGATCTTCAAAGCTCTTCAATCTTAACCTTGCTGTAGAGGAAACAACATATCTAAAATACTCCAAAGAAGGGAATTTTGTAAGAAACTGCGTGTGTGTGTGTGTGTGTGTGTGTACACATATGTGTTTGGTGTGTGCTTTTTAGAAATAAAGCCCGGCTAAGATATGGAAGTTACTACTAGCATTTGGTGTGCTTTTGATGGTAAGTAAGCAATTCTTACTGCCAACCAGTTGACAGTTTCACTTCTTACTGACACCCAGGATCACCTCCACTACATCCTGACCACTGCCCTTCTTCCATGACCAGAACCACAGACTCTTTCTGGCAGGCTGAGTGTTGCAGACAGTGATAGCTCGTGACAACATGACACTGTCCACCACTACGTTGTGATGAAGTCTCCTGTTGGAGCCATGAAAGGGGATGTTTGTCTGTCTACTGTTCTCTCTACCAACAGCAGAAACTTGGGGGATTCTAAGCAGAGTTCCTTAGGCCCAGGCATTTCATAATAGTAAGGGAGCCAAGTCTTTGATGGCTGCACATCCCTTATATAACTGGAATTTTCAGGTCATACATTTATAGACTTAGAGCAGGAGAAGATCTTAGAGATTACCAACCCTTTCATTCTGCAATAAAACTGCACAGGAAGGGAAAATGATAGCCCAAGGTCACACCGAGAAAGAGCTGGAGTGAGAAACTGGGGTCCTTAATTCTTTTTCCTCTGGCTGATATTGATTTCAATAGCATTGCTTTTAGGTGAAAATTACTCTGTCTTCAAATGAAGAAGTCTTAAGCCTGATCTTTGAAATACACAAAGGGGAGAGGGAAGGAATTTAGTACGTTGTAGGTAGTCAATAATTGAGGTGGCTGGATTTTTGTGTCATAGGGTAATCTTACTTTATGTAGTTTAACAAAATTGGATCCAATTAGCCTTCAATTTGTTTCACTCTTTATTCTCTCCAATGACCCAAAGGTGGTTAGTTTTAATCTTACCCCGATGCCTCATTGCAAATTGTTATATAGCTCTGAGGTTATAACGCAACATTCATTGGTGATGAAGGCACACAGATTTAGAGTAACTTTGGTTTAAGCTTTTGGAGGTTTGCAAGGATCCTCTTTGGAGGACAGACAGACACCGCCAGCACTTGGGGCTGTGCACACTGTCCACTGCATGAGAACATAGCACAAACATTCCTTTAACCTATCACAAATACTTGATTAAAGCAGACTTGAAATAGCTACATATGAAATGCATAGTGGTCACTTAGGCTTAATAGTTCCAAATTTGGGGCTGGGGATTTAGCTCAGTGGTTCCACCACCTATCTCGAAAGCGCAAGGTTCCGTGTTCGATCCCCGGTACCAAAAAAAAAAAAGTTCCAAATTTGCTCATCATTATGTTTGCAAATCATTATTGATCAAAATCTTCCAATGCATTCCTTTTTTGCCAAATGCCATTCTGATGAATCACAGCTTTGCCGTCCAGCTTGTATAGATCTAGGTTCTTCAGAACATGCACAAGAACATTCTGCTGGGCACTTTCTCTTCAGACCCTCAGAGACCAGGGTTGACAGTTTTCAGGTGTACCAGTGACACACTAGGAAGGAACAATAGAGTCCTCATTGCCAGGGTCCTCTGATAACACCCCCTCCACCCTGACACATACGTGCCACCTCCCACCACTGCCCACCACCATTCCAAGATCACACACCACTCGACATCTCAGCCACTGGGAATGCCCCAGGGAGGGATCCCTTAATTGCCTAGTCATGTATTTCTTTTTACTGAGCACTTTCTATATGGCAGCCATTCTATTAGGCTCTGGAGATACTATGGTGATGAACAATTTAGACCTAGTCCTTTCTCACACAGCTCTCATAATCTTTACAAAGCACAACTGACTCATAGAATCCGCTACTATGCCGATCCATTGTAGGGTGTTAAATCATTGGTGTGTTGTTACACGGAAAAGAATCTTTGTTTTAGGTTTGAAGCCTCAGAAGGGCTCTTTAAATGATTGAGATCTGCAGCAGATTGCTTGCAAGGAGCTGGTCTTGCAATCTGCAAGCTTATGGGGAGCCATGGATCAAGGAAATGGGCTTCTGGTAACTGTCAGCATTGGGGGCCATGGTGGGCTCTGGGCCATGGGAATGTTGCCGCACAGCTGTGGGACCTTCACTGCCTAGGCACTCACACATGGTTTGTGTGGTTCTCGCCTTGTAGTTAAAGCTATTGTCAGAACCTTGTTCTGCTAACTTAATAGAAGTTGTGGGTACGGAGGCAGTTGGGGAGTTCTATGTGTATGGTGCCTGTCCCAGCACAACTCAGAACCTGGGCTGGTTCTGAGAGTCCAACAGTGGAAGAGGTGGTCAGCCTTAGGATGTTCTTCTTTTCCAGGTATTTTCCACTAAAAGTGTCATCTGGTTTCTGAAAAGACTACAAACTCCTCAAGGGCACCTATGTGTCCCCGGTATCAGCCTGGCACATGGTAGCCATAAGACAAATGTGATTGATCTAATTTAATTTCCCACCCCTATCCCTATAGCGCCCCACATACATGTCTTTATCAAATAAATCCCCAATGCTAACGACTAACATCAAAGATTAGGTTCTTTTGGAGTTTCATCTGTCATCTGAAGCTAGATGGGAAATGGTGAGGTCAGCAGGGCATGACTATATACCTCACATTCCTCCTGTCTTTAGGGAAGCTCAGCTACAAGCTGCAGCTTTAAAGGAGTTTCTCATTGTTCTCTTGCAATTTCCAGTGGGTGCCCCATAGCACACAGTGAAGACAGACATTGACTCATGGCTTCCCACGTGAGAGAAAGCCTGACACCTCTCCTTTCTGCACAACCTTCCCCTAAAGTTTGCCAGCCAATCCCCAGCCTCCCCAGCATCTCACCAGGGTGGTGAACTGGTCCCCACAGGCATTGCGGATCTTCTCCGGGGTGGCAGGGCTGTCTAGCCGGAAAAGCTGCTTGCTGTTATAATCTGAGCGCTGGGCTCGAGCGGCACTGATGGCGTCCTTGATGGCAAAGAAGATGGAGGCAGCCAGGAAGAGGGGCGGCTCCCCTACAGCCTGAAGGGGCAGAGCAGCAGGGAGGGGATCAGGCAGAGCTCCCCTAACCTCCATGTCCCCCCACAGACCCGGGAGGCCAGGCCAAGAGTCCACACCAGAGCCCCACCCAGCACTAATGAGACAACCCCAAACATGCAGTCAAAATTAACCAAGGGCTGAGAATGTCTTAAATGACCAGACCTGGTGGGCATACTTTATTTTGCTTTTTCTATGTAATTTTCTCTGATGACACCATATAAGTACAATGTATCATTAAGAGTTATACTAAATAGGGTGTGGATATAGTTCCGTGGTAGAGTGCTTACCTAGCATGCACAAGGCTCTGGGTGTTTGATCTCCAGCAACACACACACACAGTTATACTAAATAATTATATTTTATAGATCAAAAATCTGACAACATGTTTTAACCCTTTCTCACAGTTATTAGCCCAGGGGAATAATCCACTTGCAATTCTGACACCAATGCCCACAGGCATTAAATTACAGCATTTGCTGGGGGTGTAGGCATAATGACAAATAAAAATTAAAACATTTTCTAGCAGAAGTTGATTTTTTCCCGCATAGCACAGATCAGAGACCACTTATATCAGAAACACTAGAGATGTTTACTAAAAGTACTACCCTTCAATCAGTTTCTTGGGGTGAGCTCCATAGAGGTGCATTTTTATAATGATCCCAGTGACTCTGACACATGGTAAGGTGTGAGAGCCAACAATGAAGGTCCTGATGTGTTCTAGAACCCCCCCTGCTCACCCACAATAAAGGAAACCATGAGACGAACAAATGGGTGATTTCATCAGTTACCTGCCTTCATTGTGATTGCTTGCCTTCCTTTGTAGATCTAGGTCTTTAACAATCAGCTAAGTTAATTTTCAACTATTGTTTCACACTTGTTGGGCACAAGGAAGAAATCTTACAGGTATGCTCATCAAGTCTTAAGATTGGGTCTCAGCAACTGAAGGAGGTGGCAGGTGAGCACAAAGGCACTGCTCCCACTGGCAGTGAATACAGATTCTCAGATGCTGTATCTGTAAATTATCTCTGAGGATCAAGCCTAGGGAGGCACACCTGAGAGATGGGTGTAGGGCATTAAAGTCCCTTTCAGCCTACCAAGAGGAGCTAGCTTCACACCATACTAACATGGTGTTCTCAATCCAATTCAACTACTGTGGTCCTCAGGCAGGAATGCCCCACCCTCTGCTGTCCTTTTAACCTTATTTCTTCTCCAAGAAGAACCCCTTGCGGAGGCTGAAGACCCTCATCACCATCACTGTGCCCCCCATCCCCAAGCGCAGGCCAGAATGCAGCACAGGCTCAGAAGAAAAGTACCTTGGATGCATAGATGGCCCTCTTGTTGGGGCAGTCTCGGAGCAGGGACACCCTGAACTCGGTGGGAATGCTGCCAAATGCAGGGATCTTGTAGGTGCTGGGCCCACGGGTGTGCAGGCTCCCCTCAGGGGAATAGTGCAGCTCCTCCAGGGTGAAGAGGCCAAGACCCTGGATGAATGCCCCCTCCACCTGCAGGACAGATGGGGATCATGGCTACCTGCCTCTCCCTTTCCCCAGGACAGGTACTGCTGGCCACAGTGGTCACACCTCCAGCCCCTCCAGGGTGGAACCTGGACAGAAGTTAAATATCCTTCAAATGCTTATCTGGCTCTTGCCCCGGCCTCAAGGTGACCAGGCTGACCTTTCTCCAGGTGAGACAGTTAAGCTTGTCAACCTGACTAGATTGAGAGACTACTGGAGAGCCGATTGGATCATGGGGCAACGCACTCATTACTGGATTAATCCGCTGATGTTCACAGCAGAATGTGGTATTAGAAAGTGGGGCTCAGCTGGATGTGGGTCACTGGGGTGTGCCTTTGAAGGGTATATCTCTCCCTGGCACTCTTCCCCTGTGTTCCGCTTCCTGGTCATCCTGAAGTGAGCAGTTTTGCTCTACCACACTCTTCTACCATGATATTCCTGCCTTGGAACCAGCCCATCATGGACTGAAACTTCTGAAGCCATGAGTCAAAATATAAACCCTTCTTTGCCCCTTAAGGTTATACATATTGGGTATTTGGTCCCAAGTAAGGCCCTGGGTTTAATCTCCAGTTCTGAAAAAGAAAGAAAAATAAACCTGACTAATACACCAAGTTTTGGCTCAGGCAGAACAAAAGTGTTGACACTGAAGGTCACTTTCAGAACTTGCTGACCATTCTAGGAGTGTCATATAGTGGAGGGCATAATTTCCCCCCTAAAACCTGCCACCATACAAATGGAACTGTTCCTTCCATGCACCACTGGGGAAATGGTGGCTGAAACTGAGCTCATGGGAGGAATTTCTTGAATAGTAGATTGTATGAGATTTTCTTCCCACCTTGTTAAACTTCCACTCTTGCCTGTCCTCTGGGAGAAAGTGCCTCTGCTGTGGCTTACAGATCTCTTCTCAGTGTCTGCCACACCGTGCTGGTCTCTATGTCTGATCCCTGTGTCCTGGCTCATAAGAGTGATACGTGGCACACCCTGTGAATCCTCTGCATCGGCAGTGCCTGGTATGGTACCTGCTCATGGGAGGGGCCCCCAAACAGCTGCTCAATGAAGACTGATCACCAGATTCCTGTATCCTCAATAATGGTCCATTTCTGAGAAATGCAATATATATTTTCTACCAGATGCTCACTACTTCAATTCTTATTTCCTCTGTCTTCTGCTGTACTATCCACTAATAGAATATTTTCCCAAAGTGATTTTCTTTGGGACATCCCTTAACTCCCCTTGGTTTACTTCACATCTTTTCCCCCCAGGGGCCTCCGCTAACCCTGGCTTGACAGCATTTACCTCCTGGGAGATAAAAGCTGTCCTGGGTGGAAGAGCAACAAGATCAGTGACAAGCCTTCTGACCTCAGACCCTACTGCCTGGGCATTGATCTCAAACTCAATCTCCACTCCTCCTTGTGCTCATTCTCAAACCAGATGCATGTGTATGTGTGTGTGTGCATGCGCGCACATGAATGCATATGCACACACATGCACCTAGTGTTCCCTCACTCGTCATCTTGTTCTCTGGAGTGTGAGTTAAGCCATGTTTATTTGTTTTCTGCCTTGAGAGTTGGGTGGAGTATTGTAAATCTAAATTCCACTCTAGAGGAGGCTTCCTAAGTACCAAGTCCTGACCCGGACAACAGGCTGTGTGCCTGCTGATCTAGGGTGGAGGTAATGGGGCACATTGATACCCTACAGTATCACCACCCTGATCTTCTATGAGTCTTACTTGTCCAATATCGATGGCAGGGTTCAAACTGGAGCCAACATCCATGACGATGTCTGTGCGGAGATTCTGAAACGGTGACAAAATAGAAGCAACTGGAGAAGGCAGAAATGTTTGGAATGGCATAGATGGGTCTCAGTAACCCTTAGACCATAAATGTCAGCCCAAATAGAACTTTCTCAAGCAAGGAGCTCTGAGCATGCTTAGACAGACGTGTTGATGTTCCCACCATATCTTGACTGACACAGTTACTGCTGAAGTTTGAGATCTTAGCAGCCAGTTGGAGACAGGAAGAAGCAATGATTTCTCAACAATCAGAAATAATTGCACCCATATTTGTGCACAAGAAGTAAGGGCAGGTTCCCAGGGACTGAAGTGTGGAACCTGAGTCTCAGTGGGTCGTGTAAGAAAAGGGTTAGCAAGCTCTATTCCATGGGCTAAATCCAGCTCATCCTGTTTTTGTAGGGCATGAAGGCTAATAATTACATAACTAAATGGCTAAAAACCTTAAAAGGATATTCTGTGACAAGGAAAAATTATCTGAAATTCAAATTTCAGTGCCCATAAATAACATTTTATTGGAACACAGTCACTCTTATTATTAGATATCATGGCTGCCCTCACACAAGAGAACAGTTGAATGGCTGAGGCAGAGACTGTGTGGCCCGTGGTGCCTAAAACATGTATTCTCTGGCTCTTTATAGAGTGTTTGCCTATCCTAGATGTAAGGCATTGTTTTCCAAATCAGAAACCTTGTCTCCATCAGCTTTTAGGGTTACAATTCAGTTCTCTTCTCTTTCCCTCTGAGGACTAACATCTTTTAAACTTCTTACCTTATGATCCCCTGTTAAGCAGTCAATCTCTACCTCAGAGCAAGCCACCCCATAGCTGAAATAGTGGAAGGGATTCCCAGAGTTGGTCTTAAAGTCATAACCAAGGTTGGGTGTCCTGGGTGCAAAATGAGAAAATGTGGCACATGTATTAGGGTGAGCTGCTCGCTTCCCACTTATCCCACACAATCCGTAAGCTCTCACAGTGCTAGTGTTTCATTCAGCTGTTCTCCACAACAGCCCATGTGTTTTAAATACTCTGAACCTTTAATGAATCCCAGGTGTTTCCAAGGATTTTGTTTCCATGTCATAATCATTCGGTGCCGCTCTGTATAGTTTATATCAGCACACTGTCCTCTGTGCAGTAGAATCAGAGGTGTCACTTTTGCTGGAGCTCATGAGGAACATGAAAGGCATTCTGTGCAGGATCCACCAAGCTAGAACCCAAGGCCTCCAGAACCACAGCTCTGCCTGGGATGGTGCTTGAGCCATTCACATAAATGGCCCTGCTCACCTTTTCAAGGTCAGAGTTAACAACATCAAGAGCTCGTGCCAGCCTGCATGCAGCTTTAAGGAGCCACTCCCCAAATCTCCAATCCTTTCAAAATTTCAACAAGTTACCTGAGGAAAATGTTTTTGATAGAAAACGATGCTCTGTACATATTTTCTTTTTCAATTCTGAGGATCTTATGTAACTCCAATTTTGCATAAGTCGTATATATGTGTACTGTGTTTTGTGCATAGGCAAGTATTCTATGCATACACTCACAGTAGATAGTACACTATGTCATTATATATTACACAGAAAAAAATAGGAACTGATGGTGTAACCAGAATCCATATAAATACAAAACCAATACAAGGCTGGGGGAAAAGACTTCTCCCAAGAGAAATCACCAGCTTGTTTGACCTCTAATGTCACCACGTTCATCTAGAGCCACCTTTGTAAAACCCTACTTTTATGAGCTCCAAAAATGTAACAGAAACTTATGCAAAAATCTGCATGAGTCCATGTTTGTATAGGTCAAGTATTATATAACTTAGAGATACCAGGCAAAATATTTCATAGGCTATTATAGAATATTATTTATAATAATATATAAGTATACGTTAATATGTTCATGCAAGACATTTTTAAAGCAAACATTAAGCTACTTTTCTAATCTATTGATCTGTGAAAGAAAATATCCTAGTTAAATTCCATTCCCAGAAATAGCTAAAACAGTCAGATGGGCAGGGTTGCTAGCTATTCACATGGCTACTGAATTTTAAAGCTGCAGAAGATTTGTGTTTCCTCCTACATCTCATTAACAAAGTTCCACTGCACTCTGCACGTGGTAACGAAGCCACAGGCTCTAAATCCTCCTCTAGTTCTTCTGAGGGAAAGCCTGTGTAAAGAAATCCAATGCCTAGTACAAAGAAGCACACAGGGACTAGAGCAATGCCTAAATTGGAGCAAAAGATACCCCGGATCTTGCAGAATGCTGAGGCAGGATGGGTAGGTGTATTTTAAGTGAGGAAACAAGTGAAATAGTCCATTCTAAGATCAGAACTAGAACTTGGGTCTTCTAATATGGCAGCTCCTGTTTTTGCCTCCTTGGCATGTAGTTTGAAAATCCCACGTATCTCCAGCATCTTTAAGCTGATGAGATGAGAGTTTGGGTATAATTTTTCTCTCCTGAACATGGGCTGGCAGCATTCAGAGTTGGGCAGGGCTGGGGGTTTAGGATGACAATACAGTACGTTGTGAGATGGGCAGGAACGGGACACACTTACTTATAAAATCCAGTAGCAGACAAGCTCACTGCATCTAAGTAGGCAGCCGAGACCTGAGGAGAGAAAAAGTCATCAGGAAAGAGAAGAGTGTGTTTTCCAGAAGTGCTGACCTCACACTAAGCTTTCATGAGCTCATCCTCTTCATTGTGGAAGCCAATCCACTCGTCTTACTAGGGAGTCTCACTTACATAACTTCTCCTTATTATCTCATCTGCACTGTAGTGAATCTTCAACTGCAGCCTGTAAACCCACAAAGCCTCCTAACTGGCTCCTCTCCCAACCCTTCAGTGTCCCCACATTTATATGATTCCTCCACCATTTCTACCCCAGTCTTCTTCTTCTCTTAATGAAAAGCACAGACTTAGATTTTTTTTTTTTTTTGTACCGGGGATTGAACTCGGGACCTTGTGCTTGCGAGGCAGGTGATGGAACCACTGAGCTAAATCCCCAGCTCCATAGACTTAGATCTTAATCACCTCTCCTTGGTGATTACTCCCTATTCTAGCCATTAGGAAAGCAACTCTCTGTGTTGTTCATTATATTTAACACAATAACCTTGAACTTTTACTTATAGTTTCCTAGTAATAAGCTATTCACCCATTTTTCTTTACTCAATTTTTATATACCCAGCATTAGCACAACACCAAGACTTACACAGTGCTTGATATTCTTTGTATCATCCTTTGCATCCTTTATATTCTTTGTGTCATCACCACTCAATTACCAAGCTCCTTAGTAGGCACAAGACGTCAATTAACACTCTGTACATCCTACAACCCTATAAAATCTATACCATTATACTCTTCATTTTACAGATGAGAAAAGTAAGGCTCAGAGAAAAAGATTTTGGCCTAGGATCTGTGTCAGGAGCAATACTACATCATTTTGGGGGGAAATCGCTTGATTAGGCCTAGTTCTCCTGCCTACAGGCCAGCTATGGCATTTTGAGACATAGTTCCATTTTGGCCCCTGGTCACAACTGAGACCTCAATGATGCGGTGATGCTGTGATTCTCCAGGACAAGATTATGCCCCTGAAGACATCCTGGGAGGAACAAAATCTTCATCTACCCAGTTCCTCATTGTTCTTGGATTGTTACACATTGTTTATCCCAATGTACTGAAGTCTCTGCAAGTCATTTGTTAACATTTGTTTCTCCCGATGTACCGAATAAAAGGTGTGGTAAGCTGGGGGCTTTTGTCTTTGCTGCCCAGAGCAGCACTGATCAGGCCCAAAGCTCAGCTTCTTCTCAAAGTCTCCTTTTTTCTACCTATTGTGTATAATAAGTCAATTCACCTTGTGCTGTTGTGACTCGCAGGAGATTAGGACTTACTGCAGAGGTTCTAGTAATGTCCCCTTTCCCTGTTCCCTACAGATTTGCCCTAGGAATATGCTTTGATATGATATTATATATGATATGACATGTGTGTTGGTGGTTGTGTCTTTTTATTGGAATCATCTGCTTACAAGGGATACTGAACTACATGAATGTTATTGGAGGATAAAACTCAGATCAACAGATCAGACGATAGAAAACTGTGGTCAAGGCTGTTGTGAAAACATCAACATTTCCTGGCAAATCCATGCTAAATCAAAATTTACACAAATCAAGCTACATTCGAGCAGTATTCACGCATATGATGCCTATGAGTGTGGGAAGAAAAGTCCAGGTCATGTGGGACATGGAAAGAGGAGCAGCCCTGATGAAAACAGTTTATTTTCCTTGAGTCTGTTGAAGGAGATTTATACCATTTGAGCTGGTTCATGAACAGTCATATTTTATATCCCCTTGTGCCCACTTCTGTCATTCTAATGCTGACATTTCTGCCTGTTGGAGAAGCTGTAGGGAAGAGGGAGAAAGGAGAAGGAGAGGGAGAGGAAAAGGGAGAAAAGAAGGAGGAGGGAGGGAGGGAGGGAGAGGGAGAGAGAGAGAGATTGGGGGGTGCTTTTTTTAACTTTCCTCTGAGAGCTTCCTGCACGTAGGCTCAGAGAACCCAGCTCATTCTGGTTTAGGGCTCAGAGAACCCAGCTCATTCTTATTGGGAGTGTTTGTTCTGTCATCCTTAAAGTCACAGGAGTAATATAAGCTCTCAGGGGACAGCATTATCTCCCACCCTTCGTGGATGGCATCTCAGTGGATCCAAATTCAAGAGCTGAGTGAGGGGAGAGGTACCAGGGTGGCCTTCAGAGAGATGGAGGTTTGAAGAAAACACAGCTCATGGAGGTTTCTGGACACATGTGGCATGAGATGGGGCCCAAGGGACTCAAGACATGATGAGAAGCACGTCCTGTCACCATCCCACCCTCTCAGGCTTGGGACAGTCCACATCTCAATTCCTACAAGGCTGTTAGGATCCTGCATCAAAAATTGTTCTCAAGTCACTTCTCTCAACTCTGAAAAGCAAAAGGCAAGGTGCCCAAGAAGGTCAGGCTAGACTTGTCCTATGAAGCCACACAGACTGCCCAGAGTTCTCTGCCTGTGTGGTCAGCTCACTATCTCTGACGCTTGTTAGAGCAGGGAGCTGCTTTTGTTGACCTCCCTCTCATTTGCAAAAGTGGCTTGAATCAGCTCAGACTTACCCAGTCTTCCCAGGAGCCATTGGGATTCTTTTTCTTGAAGGGTTCCAGCCTCTTCAAGAGGGTCTGACAAGCTTCCTAAAAAATCCCCACAACACACAAGACATCAATCCTCTCCATCCTACCTCCAAGCAATCCTGTGCCTTGCTTCCCTTCCAGAATGGCCAAGACCCATAGTGGAAGTGATGGGACCCTGCTAAGGGCCACCACTAGCCCTTGTCTGGAGAACCCTTCCTGATCCAGCCCTAGGCTGGCAGAGAGAGAACTTCTGAGGGACTCCTATGGAGGTGGCTTCCTCCATCAAATTCTGTTTGATTACATCCTTCCACATGGAAGAGAACTGAGTCTGACCTGGGTGGCTCGGTAATCAAGAGTCATCTTTGTGGCCAGTTCCAGTAACAAGGAGTGTGCCTTCCCAGAAGTCCCTGCTTTCCTTCCCTCCTACCCTCTCAGTGCCAATTCCTCCTGGCTTTGAGGGAAAGGATTCTGGTTTTTGGCTTCTCTTTTATGGCGACATTTGAAGGAAAGCATCTTTCTGCAAGGCCGAACCAAAAGCCACAGCCAAAGAGCCTATGAGAATCCGTTCCAGCCCCAGCCAAGGGGACTGTCCAGCTCTGAGCTGTCCCTCCACCGTACAGGCTCCCTCAGGCTCCTTACATAAATGGCCTGGCCATTGATGTCAGCGCTGACAGAAGCAGCTGTGGGAGAGGTGTTGGGCACAGTGTTAGTGCTTGTCTCACTGATGTAAATCTTGGAGATGGGAATTTTCAGAGCTCTGCTGGCCACCTACGAGAAGAAAAGACATTACCCTCTAAGGAAGAGATTATCATGGGGCTTAGCTGCCTTCTCCCCAAGACAGGCCTCAGGTCCACTGTTAGAGGAAAGAAAATAATCCTGTAAGCATCAATCCTATTGGTTCTGGATATTCTCGTATCTGCTGAATTTGAAGGAACACATTATAGAGTGGTTTGGGGAGATACAAATTCATAAACCCGATGTGACTAAAAGTGTCTTTTTAAGATAGAACTGGCTTAAAAAAAATCCAACTTATACACTTCTGAGGATCTGAGCAGATGTGCCAACTCTAACGCTGTTCCATGTCCTAGCTCCCCTTGAAGAGTCTCATGGGATGTGGGAAACCAGCTGCTTCCATACACACAACCTGCCCACACCACACACAGGGTTGGGGGGCCTGGGATGTGGGTAATGGCAATGTGCTCAGTGATCACCGGGCCAATCCCTTTGTACAGGTAAGGAAACTGGGGCCAAGAGGAGAGCACACTTGCCCAAGACCATGAGTGAATGAGGCCCCAAGCCTGCTGCTGCTTCTGTACATCCCACTCTGTTACTCACAGCATCTTCCTTCCCATCCCCACAAGCATCACAATGCAGGAGGGGACATTCGCAGTCCCGAGGCTCCTCACCTGGACCATCTTGGTGTGCAGGCCTTGGCCCATCTCAGTGCCCCCATGGGTCAGCAGCACAGAACCATCTGTGTACACGTGAATGAGGGCTCCTGCCTAAGGAAAGAGAAAGATGCCAGACAGGAAGTTCAGTACATCCTAACTCACCTTAAAGTTTGGGACCAAAGGTATGAAACCCAGGCAAAAGAAAATCAGAATCAATATTTTGGATAGAAATTCCAGACAAAAATTGTACAGTATAATTCTCATTATTTCATTACATAGCCCTTCAGGAATTTACAAAATGCTTTTATATCTTTCTCTCTGTGTCTTACACTTGGAGAAAAGTAGGTCCTTTATCTTTGCCTTCATTCTACCCATAAAGATATAGGATGAGAAAGACATAGTGGCTGTCCCCAGTCCTGCAGTTAGGAAGGCGGAGAACTAGAGGTTGACCCCCGATCTCCAGGTCTCGGGGTCCTGTAACATACTAGACAAAGGCATATGATAGTTCAACTTACATTTCAACGGCAAAGAGCACTGTTATCAATGACAGAGGGATTTCCCTTGTAATACCAGAAACAGGGGCCCAGTTCAGTGGAAATGGGTGAAATATATAAAGCAATTACCTGATTTAGAAAAGGAACAGAAAAGCTTATGCCAAACTTGGTCGGGATTATGCACAGCCCTCTCTTTTTCCAACAATTCTCCCTGGAGAAAAAAAGAACAGAAATTCTTTTTTTTTCTTTTTTGAGGCAGGGTCTCCCTTTGTAGTTCAGGCTGGGCCTGAACTCACTATGTAGCCCAGGCTGGCCTCAGACTCTCGGTGATCCTCCTGCCTCAGCCTCCCCAGTGCTGGGATTACAGGCGTGGGCCACCACACCCAGCCAGAAATTCTTATAAAACCTTCTCCACATAGTTATGCCACATTTGATATGTTTTCAGTCAACATCTTTGCATCAAATCAGGACAGGACATGCTTGGGACCATCCATATGGTCATTGCCACAACTAAATTGTATCCCAATCATGTAAACAAAAATGAAAGAGGTAGAAATCTGAGTCCTAGTTCCTCTAGTGCAGCTGGAACAGAGCTCATTCAGGGAGTCTTAAATTCAAGGTACCATCACTGTTCCTCCCTGAGAATTTGCACTAGGTCAGCATGCCTAATGATCTTGGGCTGTCCTTGTCTCAGGGAGGAAGGCAATAATGCCTTCTCTCTGCTTTACATTTGCTTATCTGAGTAATTCTATGAAGAAGACAAGAGGCAATATAATTATCTCTACTTTCCAGATGATGAAACTGAGGCCCATTCCAGGGAAGTAGAATCATTGCCAGGTCAAATTTATAGATTATTGTCAAGATACGCTCAGAACTCCAGTGTTTTTAGTCCAGGGGCAGTATTCTCAATTATGTGTTGCTCCCAGAAGGCACATAAATGTGTAAAGGTGAACCATGAGCAATGGGCTGTGGTGTGAAGTACAGGCTGGAGTCCTCATGGCCCTGGGCTAAAGGTCATTACAAGATCTTAAAGGGGTGGCTATCCTGAGTTGGCAAATCCAACAGTCTCACAACGTGGCCATTAAATTGTTAACTTGGTATTTGGGCTTCAGCAGAAAGGCATCTAACTCAGTGCCAGAACATCAGACTCCTCACACCCAGTGCTTACTTGTTGAACTTGTCAACCTCAGCCCTCCGAGCATGATACTGAGCACTTGCTATGCATTCATCCCAACACCTGGGCAAGGTGAATGCCTCAAGCTGCTGATTGAAGTGGGTCAGGTCCCCTTCTTGGTACATGTTTTTCCTCCGCACCTTTCCAAAAAGAGAGACACTGAGGCCTTGCTGGTGGCAAGGGACTGGGAATGGGAAAAGAGGACAACCTTAAATTAACCTTCCCGCCTCCTCTGCAGCACCTGCTCATCCTCTGAGCCTATGGGAGATGCCCCGGGTGCAGAGCCCCTCTTCCTCCAGTGCAGGCTACCCACCCTGACTTAGGTCACCAAATTCCCAGCTTACTTCCTCTGGAGGCAGCCCACAGGTCACTGAGATTTCAGTCATCCAATATTCCGCAGTGAGCATCCCTTGGGGTCCCCCAAAGCCCCTGAAGGCTGTATTAGAGGGCAGGTTGGTCTTGCACAGCCGCCCAGTGCCCCGGATGTTAGGGATTAAGTAGGTGTTGTCCATGTGGAAGAGGGCTCGGTCCATTATCTGAATCACAGGAAACCAGAATGGGAGACAACAATGCATTGATTACATTGGTTTCTCAGAACATGTACGCCGAGGGCTGCACTCCTGCCTGCCTCTCCCTGCGCCCCCATCAAGTGCTCTTCTTCAGGTGCCAGTTACTTCTTCCCCAGGGCATTGAAACACCCTCATTGTTCCCCCTTATCTACCTAATCTTCATGCAGCCCCTCTATGGGAAAACCCTGCCTAGACCCTCTCGTCAGAACAGACCCTTTGCCTCTTTAAAAAAAGTAGCTGATTTTTATTAATAGCTGATTTTTAAAATTTTTATTTTAATTAATTTTGCTAATTGTACACTTGTTTTTATTTCCATTAAAGTTGTACTGTAAAAAGAGTCAAATTCCTCTATAAGTTGTGCTATGAAAACAGCATCTCTTTACTTTGTTTTCTTCCACTCTCCAGCAGCAACCACTCATAATTTTCACAGCTTTTTAGATTAGCTTCCACATCTCCAAATAATGCTTTTATGTTGCCACATGTTAACTTCTTCAGTTGTAGACCTTTATATTGTTTGCCCACTGTGGGAAAAGGATTTCATTCCCGCCTAGTCCTCTCTACCCACATGCATAACAGCTTCCTATTCCCCAGCATATTTGTATTCTGATCTCATCGATAGCTTACTATTACAACTCTGTAAACATCACAGCTAGACCATGCCATTGCACTATGATTACTTCTCTCTTTCTTGAGATCACCTTTCATTCTGAAGTTTATAACTGACTACATTTTTTATTTGCTTCATTTTCTATGTACTTTTTACTAAGCTGACTTAAAAGTGTTCCCTCATGCTAAAAATCTACTGTTACTCTGTTCAGTCACATTATATTTTATATAAGTTTCATCATTTAGAAGAAATCATTCTTGGAGCTGTCTGGCCCACTTCGATTTAAACTGGCTGCCCACCAAGTCTGCTGTTCAGCTATTCGAAGTTTCCCTTACAGTCATCCGCAGATTCCTTTGGCTCTCTCTGTACTGAATCTTCAGTTTCTGAACCCCATGTTTTTCCTTGTTTTACTCTCCATCTTATTGGGGTACATTCTTCAATATCTTCCCAAGAAAGAGGAACATTTTTGACACCTGGAATGTCTGAAGTGTCTGTATTGTACTCCCTCCCTAATTGATGATTTGGCTGTACACAGAATTCTAGCTGGAAGTCAGTTTCCCAGTTTCTTTCTGCATCTTGAAGGTACTTTACTGTTATATTCTAGCTCCATAAAACTGAGAAGAATCAACTAATGCCTTTCCAGTTCTCAGAGAGAGTTGTTGGGACCTTCCTGAAACCTATAAAATCTCTGTCTTCAACTTTCTAAATTTCACAGTGATATAACTTAGCAGAAGTCTAATTTCCTTTATTGTGGTGGTTATTGGATGGGCTCTTTTAAACTCAAAATCTATATTCATTAGTTTGGGGACATTTTTTATTTATTTCTTAATAGCTTCCTTCTGCTTTTTTTTCATTCTTTATTTCTGAAACGTCTATTATTCAAACCTCTTGAACTGGTCTTCATATTTTCTTTCCTATTTTTCCAGATTGTCTTTCATACTGGGAAGATTCCTTAAGGCTCTTTCAATCCCCTTTGTAGTTTTAATTCAGAAAAGCTCATTTTTAGTCTTTGATTGTTTTGTTTTTATAGCGTTCTGTTCTCTCTCAAAGGTGTAACACCTAATCTCTCTGAAAAGATAAATGGTAGCTTTCATCGCTTTTGCTTGTTTCATTTTAGTTGTACTCTACTTTCCCATACGCAATCTTTCTCACAAATCGATTTATGTGTCTTTAATCATATCAGTCTTAGTCATTCTAGATAACTTTTTCTATGTCACAATTAAGTCCATTTTGCTTTCCCTTAAAACTTTGTCAACTTATACTTCTATTTCTTCTTTTAAAAAAATCTATCCCTCGTGTCATATTATGGATCTAATAAGGCAGATACAGTGTCATGTTCTTTGTGTTGCAACCCGAGGCACTCAAGTGATATTTATTTCCTGGACTGAATTAAAACTCTTGTGAGATCTTTGGGGGACAAGTGCTGTATGATTTTCATTCTAGTTTTTTCCACAATTACAAAAAGCACATGTTATACATGTGAGAACACAAGAAATATTTCCTTTTTGAGCAATTTTAACACTAGGCTGAAGTGTAAAGTTTTATAACTGAACCAATTAAACATCCCCTATCAGAGAGCGGTGGAATCTGAAGGATGTAATAGGAAACTTCTGCTTTTTGTAAAATGTGTTACTAAAAAAAGAAAAAAAGAGGAATCTATATGTATATGACAGGTAAGCAGTATGATTACAAAATGAATTAGAAACTTTTAAAATGTTATCAAGGTAAATTTGTTAATCCTCACAACTGATTCTATTTTACCCAAAGCCTCTAGTTACTTTTTAAACAATTGACTAATCCCAGTTCATCTGTCAAAGCTGTGGCCACAAGAATGAGCAGTACATAACCACCCCTTCTGGTCTAAACCAGCCATTTCTAATGGAATGGAAGTGGTGCGCATCCACGGAGACTATGAAAGTCCACAGCAGCCACCTGTGACACTGCTTGAGGTTCTGTCCCTGAAGAAATACAACATTAACGTATAGTATGGGGACTTCCTCTTCCATGCTTCTAACAAGTACCACTAAAACTCTGGGTATTATATGTATTATTTCAAATCAATCATAGCATAAGAATACTCTGAAAGGAGAAAGAAAAGAGGCAGACTCACTAGGGCCTCAGGATATAAGGAATGACATGAAAATGAGTTCTGAGGTTTGCTTTCTGACTTCTATATCCCAAACTTGGAGCAAAAGTAGGTAATCTAGAAATGCCAGTGATTACAGAGACCAAAGAGGCCCATCCCATCCCTCAACTCCTGCTCTCTATAGCCAGAGGACCGGGAAAGGGCAGCCTAGAAAAACTGAAAATGTTTAGCCAGAAACTGGTCTACTCCAGCCAAACACCAAAGAAAAACGGTGTTTCGGTATAAAGAAGGGTAGAGGTAGATAAGAAAAGACACCCGGGAGAATGTGATGTGAAGACAGAGGCAGACAGGAGCGACTGGCCACAAGCCGAGGAAAGCACCAGCCACTAGAAGATGGAGCAGCTGAAGAGTGGATTCTCCTCTAGAGTTCCCAGAGAGAATGTGATCCTGCCAATACCCCGAGTTCAGACTTTTGGCCTTCAGAACTGTAAAAGAGTAAGTTTCCACTATATGCATGGTTAAACTCAGTTTATTTAGCCTGAGAATGCCTCTGGACTGATTCCCTTATGGAACAACTGCAACCTGTTAGCTCATAAACTAACCAAAGTCAGTGTGGGAGCTGAGCCTCAGCTGCCCTCAGTAGCTGAGCTGCAGTCTCTCATGAGAGAAAAACTGATCAGACCACATGAGACAAATGCCACGCTGCAAGCAATCAAGGCATCTCACGCCTCACTTCTGATTCTGTCCAAAATGCCACCTGCCCACACTGTGAAGCAGCCCTCCCTGAACCTCTTCTGGTTTTCAGAGTGGCCTGATTCACAAATTATTCATTCCTCAGTTAAGCTGCTAACCTTAATTTGCCTAAAGTTTTTACTTTAACTATAAACAAATTAATAATCTTACATGCATAGGTACACACACGCGCACACACATACTCAACACCACCGCTCTAAATATAAAGCTTTGTAGCTAACTTTGCTAGCTTGGCAAAATGGGTTTCAAATCAGAGAAGTAATACGATGAGATTCAAGTTGGAAAAGTGTAAGAAGCTAAAGATGGGGACCAGTTGGGAGGCTACTGCAACAGCGATAGGCAAAAATCCAGGAGGCAAAAATCCAGGAGGCCAACAGGCTGTGGGGCATGCCCTTGGACTGCTAGCCCCCTGGGTGAGGGGTGGGCCCCACTTACACTCTCAGAGAGATCCAGCGTGTTCCCAGAATTGCTGAAGTGATCCACTTCCAGAGCCACAATCTTCCCATTCTTCATGAAGCCAACCTGAGAAAAGAGGAATAATTTCTCAACAGGACCTTCCTCTCTCTGTCTCAGATCCTCCCCACCACTCATGCTACCTGGAGGAAACAGAAAGGACCAGATATCACACCAGGAAAAAAAGAAGGTGACTGTGAGACATCACCATATTGGAACAGGTAGAAAGGAATTAAACCTGCCCAGTGGTATACCCTGGCTCCTTGGACCCCGGTACTCTGACCCACACTCCACATTCCTTCTACCTGCCCGCAGCTCCTAAGAGAAGACAGAGAGAGAGAGAGAGAGACTGTGGAAGAGAAAGTTGGTCGTGAATGGCCAGAGGGGAGTGTTAGGAAGAGAAAACAGGAAAGGCACTAGAAAGTTCCCTCACTCTTTTGGCTAGCAGATAATAAAAGTTCCATTATGCAAGAGCCTGAATCTGCTTGCACATCCTTGACCTTATTTAACCCTTAATAAATGCCCAGTCAAAAAAATAGACAAATGAAATGAAAAGACACTTCTCAGAAGAAGAAGTACAAATGGCCAATAAGTACATGAAAAAATTGTTCAACATCACTGGCCATTAGAGAAATGTAAATCAAAACATTGAGTTTCCATCTTACTCCAGAAAGAATGGCCATCCACAAGAAATCAAATAACAAATGCTGGCAAGCCTGTGAGGAAAAGGAACCCTTCTACATTGTTGGTGGGAAAATACTAACTAGTACAACCACACTGGAGGTATGGAAGTATGGAGATTCCTCAAAAATCTAAAACTATAAATTCCACTCAACCCAGCTATTACCTTTCTAGCTATTTCCCTAAAAGAGTTAAAGACATCACATTACAGTGATACATGCATATCCATGTTTACAGAAGCACAATTAATAATAGCTAAATCTTAGACGCAGTCTGTATGTCTATCAACAGATGAATGGATAATGAAAATGTGGCATTTACACATAATCCTCTGCCATAAAGAAAGATAAACTTGAGTCATTTGTGGAAGAATGGATGCACCTTGAGACCATAATGTTAAGTGAAATAAATCAGATACCCAAGCTTAAATATTGCATGTTTTCTATGAGAAATCCAAAATATAAAGATGGATAATTGGAAGTAGAGATATAGATCTTTTTCTAATAAGAAGGAGATCAAGAGATAGAGGAAGGGTTGAAGGAGGTTAGGGAAAAGGGATGAAAAAAGAATTAAGACGTGATTTGTACATGTACTAACTCCTTACGATGAATGCAATCATTATGTACTGCGAACATGTGCTAATAAAAATAAAAACTGAAAAAAAAAAAGAAATGGGACAAAATAATAATTAAAAAATAACCAAAAATTGCTTTGTGGGCCATTTTACGAGCCTGAAACTAAGACCCCAAAGATTGACCTGCTGTCTTCAGGCTCACAAAAATTTTGGGATAGGTGAAATTGAATCCCTTTCTGGGAGTTAAATCATGGAATAAGGTCAGAACAGGGCAAAGAGGAGTTATTCAAGGCCACTTGGTGGAGAGGGAGAGCTCCCTGAATGACAGTGCAAGGCTGAGCCCTGTGTGGCTATACTAATGCATGGGAAGGAAGGACATGTTAGTCAGAAGGAGCTGCTCATCCACTGAACCCAGAAAGGGGTCTGTCCTAGAGAGAAATTGGGCTGGTTCCCACCATTCTGTGACAGAGTAGATGCCCACCCTGACAACCTGTGGCTGATGAGGACGCTGGGAGGATTTCTCATTGTAAATGTCTTGGCAATCATTCTGACTTCTACATCAGGCTATGAATGTGCTAAAAGTAGACATGGGATGGATTACTCCAGGTCACTGAAAAACCACGTTCCTGAGCCTGATGGCCACAGGCCAGATTGGACCACAGCAGATCCACAGAAGTCATGTGTGAGCCCTTGTGATGTCTCCCGGGAGGTAGGCTGGAAGCCCCCTCCAGCACACTTTCTCTGCTGCTGATGGTGGATTTGAACTTCAGTGCTATTTCTTCTTGAATTTCTATAGACACTGTAGTCAGGCAAAAAGTACGAACAAAGCCCAGAGTCCCTTGACCTTCTTCCCCGGGGTCCCTACAAGAAGACACTGCCCACCCGGACACACCCCCATCTAGAACCTTGTATCTGGCCAGGAAGGGGTGTCTGCCACCGCTGATCAGCATGTCCTCATCACGGTCCAGCATACAGCGCACAGGGTGGCCGGTTCTGAGTGGGGAGCAAGAGAGTTAGAAATCCTCTGAGTCTTGGACAACAGCCCAGCCCTGTATATCTCAGGGGTACAAACCCCAAGGAAGACTTCTTTCTGCACCAGGCACACTGGGCAGACCTGTACCGGCTGCCTGGCTGTGCAGGCACTGTACTGGACAAGATGAGAATATCAGTTTGTAAGGTGTGTCCTTGCCCTCAGGGAGCTGGCTGTCAGGGAGGGGAGATAAGATGTGGATGTGGCCACACAGGTCCAAACACAAAGAAACAGGTGATGTTACCCTCGCCCTTATACCTGAGGTTCTAAAAACAGAGTCATGAGAATTCAAAGCCAGGAAAACTACTTGCAAAAGGACAAATCCAGAAAGCCTTCTTGGCTGAAGTATCCGTATTCCTCTTCCCAGAGCCTGCTGGGAGAAGCAGGCCTCTCAACTCACTTGTATGCAGCCAAGGCCACTGCCGTGGACAACACAGTGCTCCGGGTCTCCTTCCCTCCAAAGCCTCCTCCCATCCTCTTCACTCGAACTACAATCCGGTTTGCTGGAACCCCCAACATTTTTGCAACAAAGCTCTATGGGGGAAATAAAACACAAAAATAACCCTAGCACTGATGCATCCATGGATTTATTTCAGGCCTGATATGCACGGGACTGTTTACTGCTGTGAGCAGTGAAAATCCCCCTCCCCCCTCTGGTCCAGCCTGGGCTAGTGGTGTGGGGTCCGGGACTCATTGGCCACTGCAGATTGGGCTAAGGCTATTCAGACATTTGTTTTTAACCACAGGGTGAGATCACAGCATATTTTCAAAGTCTAAACCCATTCTATCTGGCAAGATGCTGGTGGGTAGAATCAGCTGACAAAAATGCTGCCAGTTGCTATCACAATGCATGCAGCACATGATATTTGAACTGCAGCAGATAAGTTAGTGGGTCCCTCAGCCATCACTTAGCCCAACTCCTTCGTTTTAAATATGAGGAAACTGAGGTAGATACACCTTGACCAAGATGAGAGAGCATTACAATGATATGAACAAATATTTGCTAAGCTCTAGTGCAAGTATAAAAACTCAAATAATTGATTCAACCACTCAACAAGGCTCCATTTTATAGATGAGGAAACTGAGGTACAGAAAGGTTACATACATGACAAGCTCAATGGCACCAAGCTTGCTGGTAACAGGGTCCAGCTCTAGGACCGATGCAAGCCCCCTTCAGGCCCAACCCAGATCTCTCTCTTTCCATTTGCCACCCTTCCCGCCAGATCTGCCAGGGGCTCCCTGGTCACTACCCTAGTGCCCCAAGTTGATCCACAGGTCACTTACCTGGGTCTTCATGGTGTTCTGGGTAGACACGAAGAGCTCCATCTCCCCTGACTCGCCTTTGGGCACAGCAATGGTGCAGTGAGTCTCCAGGTAGAAGTGGTCCTGGCCTCCAATGTAGAACTCTCCTGGGGAAGCAGAGACCCCCACTGGAAGTCGGTTTCTGCCCAGGGGCACATTTGCTTGGGGAGACCATGTACTCTGCCAGGCAGCCTGTGCAGCAACCACCTATTCACATGCAACCTCTGGGTCCCTGTCTGGGGTAGAAATGGGCCTCAAAGTCTTAGCCATCTGTGGATTATGCATCTTCCTCAACAGCCCATCCCCAACAAACAAATTAGAATGACCAAGAAATACACCAGGTGCAAAGTTCCTTGCTCACTGCAGCAAGTAGAAATAATACATTTCTAAAACTATTGGAACATTTTGGAAAAGGTAAAGAAGAATTAAGAGATGTGATTGAGACTACAATGTTAAGTGAAATAAATCAGATACGCAAGCTAAAATATTGTATGGTTTCCTTTATATGAGAAACCCAAAGCATAAATAATTAAAGAGCAAAATAAAAGATACATAGTAGGAATTAGGGAGATGGATCTTTTGCAAAAGGGAAGGAGACCAGGGATAGAGGAAGCAAGGTGGGAAGAGAGGAGATGAAAAAAAGAGTTAAGATGTGCTGTGTACATGTACCAACGCCCCATGAGGAATTTAATCATTATGTACTGTTAACATAATAAATAAAAATAAAAATTCAAAAAAAGAGATGTGATTGAAAAGCTCAAAATAAGAGTATCTTCCGGGACTGAAGCTATCAGGCCTGTTGGAGAGTTGGCTGCTAGTGACTTAGCAATAAAGAGCCAAGGTAGGAAGCAATTCCAGAGGGGGCTGGTTGGCAGTGGGTAAGAGCTGCAGACCTAATTTCAGAGTCAGAGAGAGATGGGGAGGTGGAATGGGGAGGACAGGGTAGGGGAAATAGCTAGCTGAGGATGGGAAGGAGCACCTTCGGGGAGATGGGGAGGACAGGGAGTCTATATGGTTAGAGACCTGGCAGAGTGAGAAGACGGCACAGAGATCAGAGCGAGCAGGATGGACAGAGATTTCATTTCAAGTCAGACCCAGAGCTGACCACACCTGTGGCCCATATCCTTCCCAATAATCTTCTAAATCTGAAAACACCATGTATAACCTCTCCAGGATCACTTAGGTATGTCCAGCCCAGAGACAAGGAGAGTAGAGATTAAAATGAGTGAGGCTCTATCCTAGCCAATGGTGTACTGTTTTGTTACAAATGTCAGAGGGAATCTCCCATTAGGAAATGCTTGGAAATCACCTCTGCTCCACGGCTCAATGCGTATCTATTGAATTTAATTCACAAAACAGTGTTGTCTTATCTCCACTGCTGCATGGCATAGCTATACCTGAAACAACATTATCTGCTTCAGCAAACCCCTTCTTGAGGTCTCCTTTCTCGATCTTCTTCTCAGATCCATAAAAGGAGTTGTTCTTTATAGCATCCTGAAGATCAGAAAGAAATTTCAGTAGCATGGCTTTCAGGGGGAGGAAGATAGCTTCTGATTAGAAAAAGAGGAACTCTCTGAATTGCTATCTCTCTTCTCGTATATGAATCTCTATAAGCTTCAGGCACAGACTTCAAGTGGCCCAAGGGATCATGTTCCCTAGCTCCTTAGCTAGGGATGGACAACCCTGAATCTTGAGGAAAAACAAAAAACAAAACAAAATCCCATAAGGCACCAACTGGAGCTGAAGTTTGGTGAAAGAGGAATTCAGTTTGGATGTTAATGAACTGAGCCTAAGATTACGAAAAGAAAGATTTCATAGGACCAAAAACCCCAGGGCTGGAAAAGATTTTAAAACTCATTTACAGGTGCTTCTTAACTTACAGTGGGGTTACATCCCAATAAATCTATCATAAGTTGAAAATGTTGTAAGTTAAAAATGCCTTTAATATGCCCAACTTACCCAACATCATAGCTTTGCCTAGCCTGCCTTACACATACTCAGAACACTTACATTAGCCTACAGTAGGGCAAATCATCTAACATAAGCCCTGTTTTAAAATAAAGTGTTGATGGGCTGGGGATTTAGCTCAGTGGCACAGCACCTGCCTCGCAAGTGCAAGGTCCTGAGTTTGATTCCCAGTACCAAAAAGACAAAAATAAAGAGTTGGCTATTTCACGTGATTTGTTGAATATTGTACTGAAAGTGAAAACAGGTATTGGTATGCTTTTGTACAAGAAAGTTGAAAAATCAAAAATCATTTTAGTAGAACTATGGTAAGTCAAGGGCCATCTGTAGTCAAACCCCTACCTGCTGCTCAAATCTCCTCTGGAAGATCCTAACAAATGTAACTGCAGGGGACTGAGGATATAGTTCAGTGCTAGAGTTCTTGCCCAGCATGAACAAGGCCCTGAGTTCGATCCCCAGTGCCACATTAAATGAGTGAGTAAATGAATGAATGAATGAATGGGCAAGCCTGCAGGGACAGAGCACTCACCCATCCACATAGGCAGTGCACGCTCAGTTACCTCGATTGTGATAATAGCTGGAAGGTCCTCATAAGTGATTTTCACCCCTTGAGCAGCTCTCTGTGCATGTTCTCTGGTGTCAGTGACCACAGCACCAATGATGTGCCCAATACAAGTAACCTAGGAACAGAGACAGAGTGTCAAAGAACTAAACTAAAAGCTGCTCACGAAGCAAATTATGTATAGATTTTCAAAAAGACAAAGCAAGACCCTGCTCTGACCATCAAAGCATACTTTACAAATGCCTTGGGGCCTTTTCATTCCCTTGCTCTACTAACTCTTCATAAGTGTTTAGAATTATTCCTATTGGAATAGGGCATGGAGATCACTGGTATCGGGAGAGAGAGCAAGAGACTTCATCTCAAAGTCCAGTTCTGTGTTTTAAGTACTGGTAGCCTATTGTGAAGCTGCACAGGACAGAAAGTGGAGATCGATTATTGATGTCTGTCCCAAGCAGCTAGGGTACCAGGCAGTGTGTAAGTCAACTCAGATCTACTTCAACATCTTTGTTCTTCATATGAAAAGATGGAGACCTGAAAGGCAAAGTTATGACTGGCTCTAGTTACCAGACCATGACTCTTACTCCTTGGCTCTCAGTTCTGCTATCCATCCATCACCACTACACTCTTTTATGTGCTTTTTCCCAGGTTTATACTGAAAGCTCCTAAAATACCAAAAACCAAGTCTTGTAGTTCATCTAGATGCCCAAAGCAGTAGCTTAGCTCTCAGATGCAAGTCCTTAGATTTGATGACACACAAATTTTGCAATTTGTAGAATTGAAAGAATAATGATTTCTGAAAAAAAAATTCAGTTTCATAAAAGCTTAATGGATCTCTTTCAGAGATATTTTCATAAAATATAATCCCAAAAATAAACAACAAAAAATTATTTTCCAACTCATCACTTTGGGATACAAGTTTTCTAACAATATGAACCAATACTTGGCATGAAAGTCTCTGATAATTATCTCTTCAGGACCCCATTAAGTTACTGACTTAGTTGCTTAATGCCATGCTGGTTGTATCTAGCTGACTCTCACCAGCCAAAATGTTAGCAATGCTCCTTGGGGCTCTTGAAATTTATAGAATGATTTGTTCTTCTACTAAGTACCTTCCTTATGGTGTCCTTGTCTTTACTATTTGAAGCTTTTTGTTTTTTCCTTCACCTTTACATCAGCAATAAGGTGAATTTACCCTTTACCTCCTACCTACTCATATCTAATCTGCAACATTTGATCCATATTGGAATTGTAAAATGACCATCTGAGAACTATCCCATGAATAAAAATACAAGGATTTTTATAACAGCTGTCTTAAAGGTTTGGAAACTCTTTGTTCTTGTTGCAGAATTCCATATTACCAACATCAATGGATGAACTTTCATGTAAGTGGGTTGTCAATACACATAGTAGTGGTGGTGTGATTTAGGGTTAGTTTGGTTAATGTATTTTTATTTTCTTTTTTTAAAAGGAGCTTAATATTATATATTAGAAACCTAATTTTTAATTCAAATATAATCATCAACTTTGTTTTACTGCACTTTGGCATGGAGTCCTCCCACTACGTACAAACAGCAGTCACCAACTAAATAAACAAGTAACATACTCTACCCCTACATGAACTGTCCTGAATACTTGCCTATTGAATGACGGCTGCTATATATGCACGTATATAATCTTTCACTGTTACAGATTTGGAGCAATGAGTACAAATTAAAACTTTAATATTTATTCCTCTTTCTTTCTATAAAAAGTCCAAGCATACCTTATCCTTTGCAAAGACTGTTTCATCATTAAAAAGTCCAGTTATGTTACTTCCGGGAATATCATCAGCTGAGAGGAAGCACACAAACCCCGGCACCTTCTGAGCTTCTGACGTGTCTATGGACCTGCAAAAATGAGCTGTGTGAAGGACCAGGTCAGCAAACTGAAGCAGCAGATCTGTCATCTGGATGGATCACTTGTCCTTATTTTAATGAATTCCCCCCACACATACACACACTGTAATTGTTCTTTCTCTACCTTCTTTCCTGTTAGATTCCAACTCAAGTCGCATATTCTGTTCTGATTAAATGCCTACATGGGTATTTCATGCTGCTGGGGATATAAAATGAATAAGATGGGCCTTGCCTCCATCAACCTTATGTTATTCCCTGTGTGGTCTCCAAGTCTAAGGGAATCACATGCTGTTGAGCAGGATTTACTCTGGAGAGCTCTGGCTAAAATGTACCTCACCAGCCAACACCCACCCAGAATCAGCATACTGGGGCCTTTGGTGTGCCCTGAACATCTGCACGTATCCGAATTTGCCTCCCCACATTAATAGTGCTATGCCAGCTTAGCAGGACATCCTTAGACATAATTAGATGATACAACCTCAAAGGGAGAAAATTCAGCAATTACAGCAGACTAAATTGTGATCCTTCTGGCCCAGCCTCCAATGGGGAAAGCAGGGCAGAGGAATCTCAGGGAAATGTATGGAAACTGTTCACAAGTACCAACCATCCTCCAGATAGTTCCTCCTCACAAGACACCGTGAAAGTAACTATCATTACCCCTATTACGCATGCAGGGAAACTCAAGCTCACGGGAGTCAGGCGGCTTGCCTAAAATCACTCAGTGCAAAAGCAACATAACTGAGATTAGAACTAAGATTAAATTGTGAGAATGCCAAGAAAGTACAGGAGCTTCTACCCCATCCCATGCCCTTCTGAGTGCCAGCAACCCACGAAAGTCCTGAGTGTCACAGTTACTGCAATGCCCACCTCCCATGCTTCTACATTCACTCTCATATTGCTTAGATGGAGATTACTGGAGTATAGACAGTATGGGTCATGGTACTGGGCTCAAAGGAAGAACAAAGGTAAAAAAAAAAATTACCCTATAGCTGGCAACTATATTAACTCAAACATTCTTTTTCACAGACCTGGAAACATTCTTTTTTAATTTTATTTGTGTGTGGCTCACCCTTCCTGGAGCCTGTCTCCATGCTAGGAGCAACAGTAGAGAAAAGATCAGTGGTAAAGAGGCTTGATCCCTAATTCAGGGAGACACAGGGCCCAGCAGTGGGATTTTCCCAGCTGTTCTTCTCAGCCATGCTATGTATCTAATGCCCACCAGGGCTGAAATTCAAGGTCTCAGGCTTGAATATAAAGCGGTAACACAGCTCCGTTGCTAATGCTACTTGGTTTCAAACACAAATTCTGCCATTTTCCAACCATATGGTCTTGGGCAAGTAACTTCCCCTTCTTGTGCCTTAGTTTCCTCTGCTGGAATAGAGGACTAATAATAGGAACTATCTATAGGGTTGTTGTGAGGAATAATGAGCCAATTATGTAAAATGCTTAAAGCTAGGTTGTAGCAAATATTAAGCACCATATGAGTGATAGTTTTATTATTACTATTTTTGAAGTGGCAATTCTTGCTGTTTATAGACTCTCAGTGTTCAACAAACACATTCAAGTGACTGTTTCCTGCTGGGTCCTGTGGCCAATACTGCTAAACCTCACAAACACAGGAGGGGTGGGGAAACTGAGAACTACAGAATACAGGCATAGTTCTCCGATGCTAAGCCCTGGAACAGGGCTTTGATCCCAGCTCCGTCAGACTCTAAGGCCATGCTTGTTCCTTTAGTGCTAACTGAAGTTTCTCTGGGAATTTCACATTTAAATTTAACCTGATATTCAGAGTGCAAATCGAATCTGGTCCTAGTAAGCCTTTCAGTGGTTCTTCACTGCTTTTTGGGCCAGGTCCAGCCTCCCTGGGTGGCACCCTCAGGATTTCTGAATCTGGGCCCTGCCTGTGTCTCTGATGTTAGCTCCCTTTGTCCTCCCATGAGCAGACCTTTGGGTGCCGTGGAGCCTTAGCTCCTCCTGCTCCTCTCCAGACAGTGGTTTGGAGATGATTTCTCATCTTCCTCTCTAGGCTGGGAGGTCCTGGAGGAACCTCACTATCTCTGTATCTTCAGTGACTGCAGGTGCGAGAAGTCTTATGGGTGCTTGCCCTTGGCTCCCCCGCGGACTCACAAGATCTTGGCATGGGCCCGGGTGCTGGTGACCAGCCGCAGAGACAGCTCGTTCTCGTAGCGAGGGATGTCGTCACAGTACACAGCCTCTCCGGAAGCCTGCATGTTCGCAGCCAGGTGGGTCAGGGGCCGGCCTACCATGTCCTCCTCAGACTGACCGGGAGGCACCTCCTGGAACAACATGGTCACTTGTCAGGCTAAGGGCACTGTTTCAGGGGACATTTGGGAGAGCTTGAAGCCAGATGACTAAGCAAACCTGAGGGAGTAGGAATGGAGGAGGCAGAGGAGCATGGGGCAAATTAAAGAGAAAGAAACCTAAGTAGTCATTGACAAGGATGGTCACAGTGTCAGTATATCAAGAAACAAACAAAAACCCTAAATGTCCATTAGTCAGAGACTGGGTTATGCTACACTCATAGCATGCAATAGTATGCAACCATCAAATATATTGTTTTGTTTTCTTTTGTTTTTTTGGTACCAGGGATCTAACTCATGACCTTGGTCTTACGAGGCAGGCGCAGTGCCACTGAGCTAAATCCCCAGCCCAAAATACTTTTGAATAAGTTTAATTAGAAAGAAAGAATGCTCAAAGCAGAATATAATAAATGTGAAAGCAGGATATAAACATTGTATTTGTGTGTAATGACTCTAATTCAAGAATAAAAATATATATGCTATCACTATAACACGTGAATGTCCATATATGCATAGGGAAAAGTGGAAGTAAATAAAAATAGAATGATTTCCCTTGGAGGTGAGATTTTGGGTGATTTTTTGTTTTCTTATTTCTCCTTTTCTATACTTTCCAAAATATTTTAAGATGTATAAATTTTATAATAAAGTTTTGTATTTATTTTTCAAAATAATAATAATGCTAATATTGATCAAGCATTTACTATTTTGTAAACCAGTACCTATCCAAGCAATTTACTTTTATTAACACATTTAATCCTCAAACATCATCCTAGGAAACACTACTATTATTGTCTATGTGTGCAGGTGGGTGTAATTAATTTGCCCAACAATGCAGAAAGGGTAAGTAACTTGTCCAGTGTTACACACCTTTGAAATGGCAGAGTTTGGATTCAAATCCAGGCAGTCATACCCCAGTTTCATGCTCTGACCACTATATTCCAATGGAGGTGTCAGTAAACTGTAGCCTTTGGCCAAATCTGATCCACTGATTTTGGAAATAAAGTCTGGCTGTCACATAGCAAACTCCTTCATTTGTATATTGCTTACAGCTGCTTTTGTGCTGATGACAAAATCAGGAATTTTTAGTAGAGACTGTATTGCACACAAAATCTAAAGCATTTATAGGAAAAGCTTGCAACCCTTTACCTAGTACCTTCCAAAGAGTTGCAGTTGATAGAGGAGTGTGTGTGTGTGTGTGTGTGTGTGTGTGTGTGTACACTTAAGAAGACTTCTAGCTTTTGCATGTTAGCCCCACAGAGCAGCCAGAAAATACAAAATGGAAAAAAAATTCAAAGAACAGGCACACACATGAGTCTAGTCCTAAGAGAGAAATTTAGCCCTATGAGGAAGCAGTAGCTAGAATGACATCAATATGGTTCCCACTTTCTTCAATGCATATATGCATAAGAGTAAGAAGCACTATGATCTACATACAATCCAAGTTGGCCTTTGTCCAGTGGTCAGCCACTGATCACAAGATGTGCCCTGCAGGGACCCCTAGTATTAGTGTAGACAATGTATACTCACCTGGAAGAGCTGGACATTGGCTGGAGGGTCTTTGTGAAAGAGCAGAGTGGCACTGGCAAAGGTGGGGTCCAGTGTGCCACACTTCTGTGGAGATGAGACAACAGAGGTGGCCTTGGCTATGTTGCACCACAGATCCCTTCCTTGGTGTCCCCAAGTGATAAATCTGACAAATGTTTCCCCTACCCCCTCAATCTATACCCTTTTGAGTAGTGGTCAGACCTTTCTCAGCATCCAAAGGTGAACTCTGTGGCTCTTATTTCATAATTGCCTTGACTTCGTCTCCAGCCACCCCAACCCTGCCAGCTGAGAGGTCTGTGCTTCTTTCAGCCCAGCAAACTTGTCTTCATCCTTCTCCCCAGCCTCCCTAGAAAAGCTTTCCTTGCCCTCCTCAATTCCTTGGGAAGTATTTAATAACACGGAAGATGTTCACAAGATAATCACAATTAAAGCAAGGGAGATACAAAACTCTTCAGGCAGTGTGATCCCCAGTCTGTTTAGAAAATGAAAATATCCAGATCAAAAGAGACCATGACTGGGGTCAGGGATTTAGCTCAGTGGTTTTGCTGCCTGCTGCGCAAGCACAGGGGCCCAAGTTTGATCTCCAGTGCCAAAAAAGAGAGAGACCATGATAATAGGTATAATGATGGATGGATGGAAGTTCAGATAGAAACAGAGAAGAGTTGGGGCAAATAGTGTGACAGATAAGTATAGGAAAAATATCAGAGGAACAAACCAAAACATGAGCAATGGTTCTCTCAGGGACCTGATGATAGAGATAATTTTAGTTTTTCTGTACATGATTCTGTATTTTTTAGGCTTCCCACAATAAGTCTTCACTGATAATCAGAAAAAAGAGGTGGTATTAATGATCTGAAGAGACACAGCTCTGCTGTCCCACGTCTGTCCAATTTCCTCTCCTCTGTGCCTCCTCCACATCTTGTCTCCTTAGCTGTGGTCCCAGCCTGGGCTTTACTGACCAGTTCTCTGACCAATGAGGCTGCTCCCTACACCAAGGGTAGCTCAGGGTGGAATAGGTGCAGAATAAATGGTTGCTGGTGAACAAATCTTGGGAGCTGGACTCCACCCCAGCCAGCACTGGCTCCTGAACACCCATCCTCAGGCATCCTGTGTTCCCACTCCACATCCTAGCTTCAGTCTACCTTCTCATCTGCCCCTGTGCTCCCTTTCATGTATACACATAAAACCGCAGCCGGATCTACTCTACATCTGGAAGGCCATCTGGTCCCTTTTGCAGATTTCACAGCTGGGACATAGGGACAGTCATGGCTGTTCACATTCCTGGGTGAGACGCTGACACCAGCAGAACAAGAGCTGGTGTCCTGACCTCTGCAGTTGGCTGCCCTCTCCATGGCTCCTGGGCCGAGTCCCTGGGGCCTGCTCTTCGGCCCTCAGAAAGCCAGAGGGGTGGAGCAGGTTTCCCAACAGACCAGCCTGTCTGGCCCACACTCACATCTTCAGGGTTGCCTTTGCCCAGCTTCTGCAGCACGGTCAGGTAGAACTTGAAGAAGAAGCTGAGTGTGAGGGTCCGCCGGAAGTCCACCATGCCTCCCGGGGCATTGTGCTCCAGGTGCAGCTCCTCTGCCAGCTCTTTGCACACATTCTGCAGGAGCTCCTCATTCCAGGACCTGTGGGGAATAGGGAGCTCACCTTGAGTGCACGCTCCCTCCTACCTCCATGATGTAGGTCGACCTCAGGGCCAGGCAAACCTAGCTGCAAAATTTGGCTCAGATGCTGACAGCTACACAACTGGAGGCACATCACGTATCTTCCATGGGCCTCAGCTTCCTCATGTTTCAGAGTAGTACAATTTTAAACATCACAAAAATAATAGCTAAATCTATCAATTCCTTACAAGGTCTAGGCAATGTCCTAAGTGCTTTATATGAATAGTTGCTTTTAATTTAATTAAAGATTCTAGCAGGGAAAGCTCTAATACCCATTTGACCGGAGAAAAGTGAGTCATGGGGAGATTAAATCACCGGACTTGTGTCACTCATTTGATCAGTGTTGGAACCAAGGAGTCAAATTTCAGGTGAAGCAGGTCTATCCCATGTAGTTATTGTAAAGATTACATAAGATAATGTCAGTAAGGTGCTTGATACAATTGCTATTATATGATAGTCGTAGTAATAGTAGTACCAGGATTAATAGCAGCAGTAGTATCAGTAATAATGGTAGTAGTGACAATAGGAGTAATATCAATAATAGCAGCAGGAGCATTAGCATTACTACTAGTAGTGACATTAGCAATGGCAAGGCAGGGGGGTTAGCTCAGTGGTTCTGCCGCCTCTCTTGCAAGCGCAAGGACCTGAGTTCGATCCCTGGTACCAAAAAAAAAACAAACATTAGCAATGGCAGCCACAGTAATAGTGGTGGTACTGGAAGCAATAATACAGGTAGCAGTAGAAGGGAGAAGTAGTAATAGAAGAAGCAATAGTATTAGTAGGAACAAGACCAGTAATACTATTACTTGTAGTAGAATTAGTAATAGCAACAGTAAAATTAGTAGTAATACCAGCAGCAGTAATAGTAGTAGTAATATCAGCAATACTAGATAGCAATAAAAACAACATCAGGAGATTAGTACTAGTAGTAATTGTAGCAAAGCAATGGTGGTAGTAGCAATAGGAATGATAATAATAGTAATGCTATTAGTATAAATACTACAAGAATCAATAGTAATAGTGGTGTTAATAATAATAGTATTAGCAGTAGAAGAGGCAGCAGTAGTAGTAGCAATAGCTTTAGTATTGATAGTAGCATTCATACTAATCATATTAATGATGTTATTAGGAATAATAGAAGTCATAGTACTTATAGTAATAGTAATAGTTGTAGTAGTAGTAATACTAGTAGCAATAATAGTGATTGTAGTATAGAAGCAGCAGCAGTAGGATCAACAGTAATAGTAGTTGTAGCTGCGATGATAGTAGAAATGGAAGTGATAATATTAAAAATAGCTGTGGTAGGGCTGGGGATTTAGCTCAGTGGTTCTGCCACCTGCCTTGCAAGCAGAAGGTCCAGACTTCGGGTACCAAAAAAAAAAAAAAGCCATGGTAGCAGCAATGATAATAGTAGTAGACCAGCAGTAATATTACCATCATGTGTCACTTAGTGACAGGTATATGTTCTGAGAATGTGTCCCTAGGTGACTTCTTCATTGTGGGAACATTATGGAGTGTACTTACCCAAACCTACATGGTACAGCCTGCTACACACCCAAACTATATTTGTACCCCATTGCTCCTAGGCCACAAACCTGTACAGCATGTTACCACATTGAATACTGTAGGCAATTGTAACACAATGGCATTTGTGTGTCTAAGAATAGCTAAACCTAGAAAAGGTACAATAGAAATACAAGCAATAGGAATTTTTCAGCTCCATTGTAATCTTGTGTGGTCACCATTGTATAGATGGTCCATTGCTGACCGAAACATTATGCTGTACATGACTGTATTAATAATTGTAACAGTAGCATTAGTAATCCTAGCCGCAAGAGTGGACATGTTAATAGTAGAACAGCAGCCATGGTCTCAATAAAGACAAGGACAGTAGCAGCATACTGATGCTTTAGTAGTCACAGTAATGGTGGCTGCAGAGGCTTCTTTGCGCTGTGAGCTCTTACTTGGACAGCTGCTTCTGAGTGGTCATGAGAGCTGAGATGGTCCTGTTCGCCATTCCTCCATAGCAAAGGGACATCTCCATTACCTCTGTGGTCCCTGGCTTGAACAGCACTCTCATGCCACAGGTCACTTTGGCAATGTCATCTTCTCTCCGGGAGGCCTGCTTGAATGCTGAGAAGAACTCACCCTAAAAAAAGAACAGGTTCCCCGCCTATTTTGCAATGAATGCAGATGGCCAGCCTAAAGCACAGGGCTGTGAGGGAGGTGAGGTGGGGTGGGGGATTCACACCATGGCAAATCAGAGGGGAAGGGGTCACAGGAATCAGAGAAGACATAACTGACTACATTTTTAGAAGACACAGAAGCCTGAAGGGGTCAGGATTTCTCCGTTAGTTGGGAAAGCTGAGCCTGGGTCTGGGTGATGTCCACTGAATGAGCAGCTGGGATGGATGAGGAAGATGCCTTCAAGGAGGCTCCTCGGAGACCTGCCCTGGTGCTCAGGATCACAGGCTGCTCAACCTCTACTGCAACGCCACTGGCCTGGTGTCTCTCCGGCAGGGACTGGCAGACGCTGGAGGCTGGTTAAAAGCCCTCACCCATGGCCTCCTCCAGTGCTCTACCTTGTCCCTCCCACACAGTCTCTGGGAGACTTTGAGAAATCCTGGTTCCAGCAAGACAGCGTCCCACTATGAAGCAGCTGCTGCAGTGCTTTGAGCGCTCCTCCCACCCTGCTCTCGGGTCCCAGCCAGGGCTGTCTTTGGGGACGACAATGTGAATCACTTCGCTGAGAAGGCGTCAACTTGACTGCTTTGGGAGCCATACAGGGAATTAGGAAACACACTTCCAGGTGTGTTTGGGTGTGTCATGGAGGCGTGACCTGAGTCTATATCTGCTTCCTGGCCCCTTCTTTTCTGACACTGTTCTCCTGCCCTGCTTCCTGGCTGTCATGAGGTGAGCAGCACTGCTCTGCCAAGCCCATCCCCATGATGTTCCTGCCTTGGATTCAGCCAAACAAGGACTGAAACCTGTGAAACCCGAGCCAAAATAAACTGCTCCTCCTTTAAGTTGTGTGTTCCAGCAATGAAAAGCTGACTAACACAGGGAAGAACCCTCTGACTTTAGCCCTCCTGGGTCAGGTTGCTCTTGATATCTGCACCTACCCTGGCACCACACCTTCTAAGTAACAGCAAAGAGGGGAGGTTAAAGACTGATCCATCGAGGAGAGTACAAAAGGCTCACCGTTGAGTCCCCCAGGTGGCACTGGCCTTGCTTTCAGTAGCCCTGGAGCTCCTTTCTGATGACTAAGCTAGCTCAGATTCCTGGGTGACGACATGGCCCTGGGGAACTGAGCCCCATGTTTGGACTTGACTCTGGAGCAGAGTCAAGCTCTAGGTTGAGTGCAGATACTCACACTTCATGTCATGCACAGCCTGGTGATATTGGCACTGGGTGCCTCCAGCTCTGAAGGGCTGTTTGACATGGTCCTTTCTTGAGAAAGCTTTTTAATTCTGGGCATTAAAATCTCTTTCTTTTATGAAACAATTGTTTTGGTGTCAATGCCTACACCTAGCAAAATAAAAACTGCATAGTACTAAGGCTGTTTTCTCTCCCTTTCCTCAATCATACTTTTTTTAAAAAAAAATTAGTGATCAGTGAAATTCAAAACTCTCAGAATCACTGCTCAAAATGGTCTATAAAGACAAGCTAGAAAATCATTAAGAAACCAGCTCAGGGCATAATTACTCTAATCGAATTAGCATTCTCATTAAAGAGGTCAAAATCAGGAAGGGCAAACATGCCTGATACTCTTGTTAATGCACCAGCAGTGATAAGCCCTTTGCTTTCCTTGGCCACTAATTCTCCAGAGCACTTTTCTAAAAGGCTCGTTGTGAAATGAATCCTGAGTTGATGGCTGCTGAGAAGAAAGAGAACGGCCCCAGGTCAAGCTACTTCAAGCCTCACGGAAGAAGAGCAAGGCAGGCAGAGGTGCCAGGTCTGCCCAAACAGGCCCGAAAAGCTGCTCGGAGGGAAGAAAACCAGCAGTGCCAGCCCAGAGCAGGATTAGGGAACCGACACCTTGTCGTGGCCAAGGTCAGCACAGCTTCGGTACCATGCAAGCTCTACACTTTTCACCATGGGGAAATAGAGGCCCTGATGTCAGCAGGAATACCCAACAGCTGGATGTGTTCTTGGGATTCTGGGGTTAACTATGAGCTTGTGATCTCCACTAGCTTCCAAACATCTGCCAGGAACCTTATGAGTTATTTATTTCATTCCTCACAGTAACTTCCATAGTAGGTAACATTGTGTCCACTTTGCAGAGGAGGCCATTAGGACTCAGAAAGGTAAGAGGACTCACTTTGGATCACATGCCTGAGCAACTCTTATCCTGCAACTCCTCATAATCTGAGAGGAAAATGCTGGCTCATCAGAGGCAGAGGTTAGAGAGAAAGACATCAGTGTCTCCCAAGGCACACTCTGGTCTCCTGCCTGGAGCCCAGCAGTATGTGTAACTTGGGCTCCTGCCACCTCACCTCCCTGCTGTAGGGGATCTCAATGGAAAACAGTATCTCCTCTGGACTCAACAGGGTCTTTCTGTAGCCAGGGAAGAAGGTGTGGTCCATTCGAACAGTTCTTCTGGTACCTGCGTGGAGATAAGGCCAAGGTGAGGGAAAGGCTGTGGGCCCTTCAGGTGCCGAGGACAGCTCCCCAGTGGAAGCGGTTCTTCTTGATCTCTGATTCCCACAGTCAGAAAGAGTGGCTGGCACAGAACCAGGTCACTGGAGGTAGGGCTTTGAAAGGTGTATTTGGTCTCTGGCCCTTTCCTTTCTGGCTTCTTGCTCTCTCTACTTCCATGAGGGTGAGAAGCTTTCCTCCACCCTGATGTTTCTGCTTTGGAGCCAACCTACCATGGACTAAAACCTTTGAAACCATGAGCCACAATAAACTTCTCCTCTTTTAAATTATGTATGTCAGATATTTTGTCCCAGTAATGGAAAGTTGACTCGCATAGTAAAGCATCCACATGGCAGATCCTGCTGTGAATTCTTTATAAAAAAAAAAGATTCATCTCTCCCAGACCCCCAGCCTAGATACATCCTCCCGGTAGCTTTCAAGAATCCCAACCTTAAAACAGCCAGGTCACTTAGGACTGTGTTTCTCCAGAAAATGACCCATCTGATGAGAGTTTCTCCACAAAGTCCTTCTTTCCAGACCTCTGCTTTAGGCAACTCACCTTTGGACACTAGCATCAGCTTGGCTCCACTGGCCATAAACACAGGGTTGAGGTCAGAGATGGGGCTGGCAGTGATGATGTTCCCTCCAATGGACTAGGACAAGCAGAGATTGTGAGTGAGACCCCAAACCAGGAACCACACAGACACCTGCACATGGGACAGATGGCTGACAGCTGCTGCAGAGAACACCTGAGTGCCCACACCTGCCATAGACACTGGGAGCATAGCAAGAATGTGGGCTTTTGGAAAAATGTGCACGATGTGGGTCCTAGCTCAGAAATTCACGAGGCAGTAAACTAAGGAGAAACTTTTAAATTATTTTGTCTCTCCTAACTTTTTTTGAAAGGACTGAAATGGTTTATCCCAGAGGTTGTAGAGAGTTAGTAAAATAAAGTAGAAGGTAAAGAGCACAGAAAAAAGGAGGAAGACTTAAGGATGAACAGTCCACTTTCTTTGGATATGAACTTCCTGGCAACTTGACCGGAAATGGAAGAAGAATCACATAGAGGTTTCTCATTACTGGAAATGAGAACGAAAAGCACTGTGCTACAGAAACAAAGTCTTTCCTAGAAACAGACTTAGCAGAACCGGGGAACACAGCGGAGCCTTCTGGGTCTGAGTCTCTTTGTCTGCAATCAGCAGAAACAGGTGCTTGGGCAGGACGAGGGGGATGGGAGTGGACTGGTTCATTTCGTTCTATTCTGTTTTAAATTTTAAAACAATTATCAAAAATGAAAAAATAGCAGAAGAGATAGATTGCCCCTCAACACCATAGCACCATCAACTGTTGTGAGCCCCAAATGGAGCAGAGAGTATGTGAACCCCACTATTTGAAACTGAAAATTCCAGGTCTGGTCTAAGGCTGACTGAACAGTCACCAGGTGAACCCCCTCCTTCAGGAAGAGGGAGGCAGGCAGGTGTGTCTCCCCAGTCTTGGGTTTAAAGACTGAGGTAGTGCTCAGAGTAACTCTCAGAACACCTCCATCAGAAGCACCCAGTGCTAAATACCAGGCCCCTGGCCTCACCCCAGACTCACCGAGTCAGTCTCCCAGGGTGGGGTCCAGACTTGCATGTTAACAAGCACCCCAGGCAAGTCTAAGCCCACAAGTTTGGGGTCCACTGGGTTGAAGCAAGTGCAAGGCTGCAGCTGGGCCCCTCCCTTCAGATGAAGGGCCCGTCCTTTGGGCCCCGCTTTCCTCCAGGCTGGGACTCACCGCCACATACTTGATCTGCTTCCCAGCAAACCAGCGAAGCTGTTCCAGGACCCCTTTGAACACCTCTGTTTTTTGGGCAGGAAGTTCGGCTATTGCATCACCCAGGACCTTTTCCATGCAGCTCAGGGAACAAGCAGCTCCGAAGGTGATACCTGGGAACACAGGCTCAGAATTACAGCCATCCCTCCTGTGGCTCAGAAACCGCTTTCAAAGATAGCTCCTGTAAAACCACAGCAAGGCTGAACCAGGATGTACACGTTTAGGTAGATAAGGAAATTAGGACCCAGACAGGTAAAGTGACTTAACCAGTGCCACACTGGTAACAAGAGAACCAGGACTCAGTCCAGGTCTGCGGATTCTACAACTGATGCTCTTTCCTCTAAGGATCTCTGTGGATGTAGTCTTGGCATTTTTTTTTTAATTAAAAAAGCACCAAGCACCATCCACCTCCACCTCCCCTCTAAAAGGCGATGAAGGCTGCCCCCTCCCCAGTCACGCCTTCCTGTTTGCAAGGTCGACTCCAGGGGAAGCAGGTGGGAGCTAAAGCAGGCTGCTGAGCAACCCCTGCCCTCAGACCCACCCCACTTCACTGTGCCTCTGTGGGCTCAAGGCAAACCCTCCTTACCCTCAGGCCCATGTTCCACTGAAGTCAGCTCAGGGATCCAGGCTGGGCAGATGATCATAGGATACAGCATATTCTTAAACTTCATCTCAATGCCTCGAGAGAAAGGAGATGCTGGAAGTTAGACCTCAGTGGTTTCCCCATCATCCCACACGGGGTACCTGACATTTTTATAATACTAGGCAGTGGTGGCAAATCTATGGCACAAGTGCTGCCGCTGGCTGTCTGCATCACTGAGAGCTCTAAAAGATTCACCATCACTGTCCTAAGGATTAGGAAACACAGAGGACAAGGCATGAGGTGCAATCTCCTACTGTCAGCAATAAAACTATGTCTTTGCATCTCCAAAAAATAAAAACCTATCCAAATTCAAATGAAATGACCTTGAATTCATCGTAGTATGTGTAATGTGTGTGTGTGTGTTTATGTGTGTATGTATAATAACACTAGAAAATACAGGATATTAAGGTATGTCAGAAATTCTTCTAAGCATTTGCTTATTTTAACTCTTTGAATCCTCTCAACAACCCTATTGGGTACTGTAGTTTTCTCTGTTTATAAATTAAGAAACAGGCATACAAAGGTCAAGTTTTTGCCTAAGTCACACAGCTAAGAACAGGAACATTTCAGAACTTGAGCTCTTGTTACTGTTGGGGTATAACAATAATAAAAACATGGAAGTCTAAACCCAAAAAGGAAAATGAAAAAGAAAACTTCAAATCCTCCCTCCAGTTGCCAGTTTCTGTCTGACATCTTAAAGGTCCACGCCTTTGTGGGGCTACACATGTGTGTCCAGCTTCTGTCCTCAGAGGAGTGCAAGTTAGAAACCTGTCATACAAATAAATGCACCTCTGTTCCTTAGACCCAGTTGGCACCACAACTTGCCCAGTCCTGCCACTGTGGCTATAGATGGGAAAGGTTAAAGAATAAATGCCAGCCAGGCATGGTGGCACACACCTGTGATCCTAGCACTCTGGGAGGCTGAGGCAGGAGGATTAAAAGTTTGACCCCTGCCTAAACAACTTAGCAACTTAGCATGATCCTGTCTTGAGATAAAAAATGGGGGGAGAGGGGTTGGGATATACTTCAATGTAAAAGCCCCTCGGTTCAATCCCTGGTACCAGAGGAAGAACAGAAGGAGGAGGAGAAGGAGGAGGAATAAGGGAGCCATTCTCTATGCCCAACCTCACCTCCCCAGATGCTGCTGAGGATCTTTGAAGGGAGGCCTGGTGTCCAGGAGCCTGGCTTGTGTGGGTACCCACTCCCAGGACGTGGAAGGAGGTTGAGGGACTGCAGTGAGCCCCATCTTGCTATGGCACGCTCCCCACCATCCTGCACCAGCTGGGGGTGTTTGCACTGCAGGGTGCATCCATAAAGAGGAAAGAGTGAAGCAGATGCAAGTGATCTCAAGCAATTATTTAAAATCTTTGGGAATTCCTTCCTCTTGGAATCCAGGGCAGAGTCTGACTAGTGGCAAGGAACACAGCCAGTGTCAGAGGATCTCCTGCGATATTTCCAGCCACCTTAAATCATGCTACCCCTGGACCACAGGGCCATGACCATACGAAGAGAGGACCTTAGGGCCATGATGATGTGGGCAAAGGCAGGCGGTACAGGCAGCCCCCCACTGCCATGAGTCCGGCCAACCAGAGCCTCAGGGTCACCTCCCTGAGGCATGACTCATGGCCTACCATGCGATGTCAGTGTGCTGTGCAACTGCAGCCAGGACTTGCACCATCTGTGGTCATGAGGACAGGGCCAGCTCTAGGAGCCATGAGCTCTGAAGCAAGCCAGGCCCTTCTCTGCAGTTGGGATCCACCCAGAATCCAGGTGGGGGCCTCCCTTGGGAGCCAGAGCCAGGAGTCTCCCTGCTCAGGCTGCACTTGATTACGTCCCAAACCGGAGCCCTCTAAGATACTTCCGCTGTGCCATCATCTTCTCCTTGAATCCTCATTAGACTTGGGATCCCGTAAAGTGGAAATGGGCTAAACCAGGTTTAGAAATGGATAGAAAGTAGCAGGCACCTGGGCTCCTCTACCATCTCTCTCTGTCCCATAGAGCATCGGGGCTAGAGCTGCACATCCTGAGTACCCTTGGCCTGTTCACGTACCTTGGGCCCCATACCGCAGCGGGGGGACACAGTCCCAAGACACTCAAACACACCACCCTGGGACATCTCTTCTCCCTTACCTTATCCCATCATCATGCAGAGAAAGGGCAGTGAAAAGGAGGCAAGAGTGATATTCTAGCCTCCTTAGCACCTGTCAGACACTGGTCTGTACACGTTGCCTATGTTCACATCTCCCCTCTTAGTCTAGGAGATCCTCAAAGGAAGGAGCCATTTCCAACTGGTCTTTGTGTCCCAAACCCTCCTGAGACCCTGGCTCATAGCTGGCATTCTGTAGATGTTTAGGGGGAAAAGTCACAAGCATCCAAGGACCTCATTTGATACTCAAATCAACCCTTTGAGGAGTTACTATCCCCATATAAGAAATGGGAAAATGAGAAAAGTAGGACAAAGAACGACTTGAGGACAGCCAGCCAGTGAGGGGCTGAATCACGTTTGGGTGACTCCATAGCCAGGGTCTTGGCATGAATTCAAGTGTCCAGAGTGTCCCCAGGGCAGTCAGTGAGGCAGGGGTGGGTGCAGAGGGAGTGATGTCAGGGGGAGGTGGGACGGCCCAGCACAGCCCAGAAACACTCCTCGGCCCTAATGGAATCCCCAGGGCCATCTCTGACCCTTACCAATCTCCGTGTTCCCCACCACCAGCTTGGCATCAGGATACCGCGCTTTGAGGTCCAGCAGCTCCTGCAGGGTTGAGGCCTGGATCCAGGTCACACGCTCCCCTTGAAATCGCAGCTGCTTCCGAGGAGTGTCTTTCAGCCTCTGCAAAATGTAGTTCACATACTATACTGTCTCCTTCCTCCTACTGCCACTTCCCTGGTAAATTGCTTTAAATCTTCATCGGGATCAACTCCTCTTCTGACTTATTTAACACTGAATTCAGAAGATCGAGTATGTTGTGGAGAAGTGAGAGACACTAATACATATTAAGAAATTGCTGGGCCTATTAAACAATCATCCTGCTTAGTTTTAAGAATCCGTCGGTGAAATACGTGAGCTTCATTTCCACAGGTTAAAAAGAAGGAAAATTTAAAAAACCCCTGAAGATCAAGGGAGTTATGGGACCTGCCTTTGGAGGGAGAGGTCGCTAATGGGAGCCCAGGTTCCTGGCGGTGCCCCACTTTGCCTCCAGGGGTGCAGTGGAGAAGGGAGAAAGGACAAGGCTGGGAAGGATGGTGTGTCCAAAGGGAAAGCAAAGGAGGGCTGAATCCGGTGCGTATGGGGTGACACTGGGCTTGTAAAGAAATCTGTAAAATCGAACTGCTGGTATTTGTAGTTTCACAATCCAAAAGAAGATATGCTGATGGCCTATGGCAAAGCAGTTCTCTTTGGCCTGTTGAATCTATAAGGCTGTCCTCGTGAGTTCTATGTCCTTGAAAAATGGAAAATTGAAATGTCATGCCTTGCTGTAAATGTTGGAGTGGATGTGGTAAAGTGGTGTGAGCAGTGGTCCTTAAAACTATGAACAATGTCACTGAATACAGCTCTGTTTGTTTTTAAATAAATAGACTGCTTATATAGAGAAGAACAGGTGGCTGGGTGGGCTTACAGCAGAGGCCAGCAAATAGTTATAGACACTTGCTGTTGATACATAGCACCAGGGAGACCCAGTCCTTGTCCTTGTGGGGCTTATAATCTTACAAGGAACACAGACACCGAGTTAGTCAATGTCAGGGCGACCTGTGTGAGAAAAAAGTGCTGTGGGAATATAACCTCAGAGAGCTATCAGCAAAAGGAAAGGAAACTCAGGCTGAAACCTAAATGAGAGGGAAAGCGCAAAGTGCTCAGTGGGAATGAAAATACAACAGTTCCCAGGGGCTGACAGCAGAGGCCTGGCTGGACTTCTTCCTGAGGCATCACCTACCAGCAACTCTGGGGGAAAGATGGGCTCCTGGGTGGGATCCAGGGGTGTGAACTCTTCTGGCTTGAATAAAGGTGGTGACAGAGTGATCTGCAGGGAGAGAGAACAGTAAGTGTACAGCATCTCCACCTTTCACGTGCCCAGTAGGACTGAGCCAGCCCTTTCTCTAGGTGAGCCGATGCCCAGCCCTCAGCAGGCTGGTGGAAGACAGGCAACTCCTGGCTAATAGGGACAAGGAGGTCCTGCTGGAGGACCCAGGGCTGCTTGTGCACCTTCACCACGCTCATCACCTGGCCATCAGCAACACCAACTCTCTTCCAGCCGCTGCTGCCAGTGATATAGAGAAGATGAGTCCCTCCTCTGAGCTGAAGACCTCCCCCAGGCTTCCGGGGGAGAACGACCCACTTACTGTTCGGTCTTTCTTCTGGTTCATGCAGCAATTTGGGTTGTCCCCATTTCCTCCACAGCACCCACCATTCTGGAAAGGTGACAAGCATTCACACAAGGATATGTACAGAGTTTTCACAGAATCTAAGGAACCTTGATGACTAGGATCTGGTGAACTCCAGCTCTGATACCCACCCCAGCATCAACAGAAGAGGAACAGACTGCACCCCACCTCACGTGCCTCCCTGCATAAAGCTGTGGGCTCTGCTACAGTTCCTCTTTCTTGGCCAATGAAGATTAAATACCTCATGGATAAACACAAAGGAGCAACAGGAAAATTTATTTTTAAAAACATTTCTCCATGAAAGCTAGGTCCTATTTTATCAAAATATATCTTTATGCTCATTTTCCCTCTTCAGTGCTTCATTTTAGGAAGCCCCCAGGCCAGAAATTCTCAGCAGTTCTCTCAAGACTCAAGAGGCTCTGCTCCTAGACCAGCTGAGTTCTACAGGGCCTGGCTGGGTGTTTCCCGGGCTGGGCTCTGGGTGGCGCTCCACCAAGAGCATCCAAGGCCAGTGCTGGTCCCAGAGATGTGTCCATCCAGGTGCCCAGGGACCTCTGTGACTGACTAGGAAGTGCCTGTTCCGGAGGAAGTGCACAGGTCCAATCACCCATCACCTATGGGGAAGGACTCGCCCAGGACCTCTCTGACGCCAATGGCAGAGCACAGCAAGAGCATGAATCACTGCCTCCCAGAACCGAAGCTTGCTGGGAGAGGAAGGGATGTCTGCCTGGCTGAAGTCACAGCTCCCACTCTCTCTAATGTTTCACTCCATTCTTGTCTTGCTTGCATGGTTTCTGGGAAATCACATGTAACTCTTATCTTGCTCTTTTACAGGTAGTCTGGATTTTTTTTTTTTTTTTAAGAGACATGAGAATGCTCTGGACTCTTTCAGGAGTTTTTTATTTGCCTTTAATTTTCTAAAATTTCAATATAATATGCTTTGAAATAATGGACTGGGTTTTTTTTCGTTTGTTTGTTTTTTTACTTTTGGGGTTATTTTCCGGGTTTGTTGTTATGGTCGATGCTTTGGTTTGGTTTGGAGGTTTCTGTTTTGGCATTTATGCTGCTTGATGGTTTTGGAAGTTAATATTGATTATTGTTTCAGATACTGCTTCTGTTCCTCTCTTCCTTCTCCTTCTGTTATTTTCATCCCATGCACGCTGCACCTTCTGTACTCAGACCGCTATTCTTAGACTTTCCTAGAGTTTTCTCAGTCTGCTTTTGGAAGTTTGTATTGTCACATCCTCCCACTCAGAGAGGATTTCCTCATCCATGTCCAGTTTACTAATGATCCTATCAAAGGCTATTTTGATTTTGTTACAGCGTTTATCTCTAGCATTTCTTTATGATTCTATCTCTCTGCCTACTTTATTCATCTGTTCTTGAATGTTGCCTACTTTTTCCATTAAAATCTTTAGCACATTAATCTTTGGGTTTTTTAAAAGAAAACTCCCTATTTGATAATTCCAAGACCCCCACCATGTTGACTAAAGTTCTGCTGTTTGTTCAGTCTCTTCAAACAGTGTTGGACTTTCAGTATACTTTGTAATTTTTTGTTGAAGTGTACACATGTTGTGCCGGATAAAAGAACTCACTGTAAGCAGGGTTTTAGTCATGTGTTGGTAAGGTGTGAATGAGAAATCTCTTACAGTCCCAAAATTAGGCCTCAGTTTTTTGGTGAGTCTGAATTGTGAGCTTCACAGGTGCCTCTCAGGGTTTTTCCCCCTTCTTTAGGTGGGTTAGAGCAGCTAGAGGGAGCTGGCATTGTAAATTTCTCCTCATCCAGGCAGGTTCTGAATTGACCGCAGAAGTTTAGGTTCTTCTAAAATAATTTATTCTGAAGACAGGCCTCATTAAGAAGAACGGAATGTTCTGGCACATTTCAAAATGGTTCCTGACTTATTTCAAATGATTCCAAACTCAGAACCCAGGACCTCTGTGCCTGGATCCCCTGGTCTCTGTGTTTCTCATGCTTGTCCACATTAAGCCACCAGCAATTGCTCAGCTACTGTTGACGTCCTGCTGCTCTCGTACAGGTTCCTGCTGACCCTGTACGTTGTGATTCTCCAGTGTGTTGTGATTCTCCGATGGCTCTAAAAAGTTTATTCAGATTTTTACTTGTTTTAGGGATGGAATGAAAACTTCTAAGCTTCTAACATACCAACCAGGAATGTTATTCTGTGTCTATTTTTATGGTTCTTCCAATTCCTTCCTTGTTGCCAAATGGATATCACCATTCATGCTGTGCATGCTGTACTTGCCTCTAGCAGGCCCCTCGTACCCTCTTCTAGGGTGTGCTGCACACAGGAAAACTGGACCAGTAAGTTTGTCAGAACTGTATGTAAAATGGGAGCAAATAGGCTCTTGGTGGCCTCTGATGAGTGACCTGAAGGAGATTCAGCACACCTTTGGTGTGCCAGACATCTTGGATATACAAGGTCTTGGCTTAGCTCTGCTCTCCCCTCTTGGAAAGATGGCCTAGGAAGGGTGCTGCAGCACTGTGGAGTCAGGAACCATTCCAATGTTGAAAAAACTCAGACTATAGAAAGAATGTAATTGTCTGCTATGCTCAAATGCCCTTCTCTTTTGGGACACTACAAGAACTGGTTAGATTGCATGCCTTTGAACAGGCTGCTGTGATAGAAATAGATAGGGAAGATTAATGACCCCTAGTTCTCAGGGGAGGCCTGAGCAATTAACGAACATCATACAATGGACAAAGGAGAAATGTGTCACAGTTGTAATTTATAGCTCCACTTATTGAATACTTCAGATGTGCCAGCCATTGTCCTAAAGGGTTTGCAAGAAGTATTAATCTTTACAACCGTTATAAGGTACATATTACTGTAATTCCCATTTTAGGTACGAGGAAATCTGCCCAGGGCAATTGCATCAATTAAGTGACTGAAGAGGATTTGAACTCAGGTCATCAGACTCCAAATCTGTGATTTTAATCATTTTTCTGACTTTATCACCAACAATATTCTCCAGGGTGTGCTGATTTACATCCTTATAAGGCTCCATCTCCTTCTTGGAGTACAGGAACACAACCCTCCTAAAGCCGAGTGAAAAGAACAGGTGTCCGTAGAGCTACAGTTACCCAAGTGTCTGGGTCTCCTGGACGCCACATCAAATTGAGATGAGAAAGTTTGGTTGGAGTTGGGACTACCTTGATCTAGTTGAGGAAGCAGATAAAAGCTGAGAAAGTATGCCAGGGAAAGAGAAGCCAGCCCTCTGTCCTTCTTGCCAGATGGCAGGTGTGTGACTGTGTTTATAATCAATGCCCACATGGGCAGCTGTGGCTTCTCATGTGCAGCTATATGAAAACAGCAGGGGTTCACAAACTGTCTGGAGACCTAATTATCAGCTCATAAGCCCTGCTGAGTGCCGGATGGAGAAAGCAAACAGGAGAGAGAGGAGGGGAGGGACTGCCTAGTTCCGCTAGGCTGTTGTTAAACACCATGCTCAGCACCTGCGCTGCACTAAGCCTGCCAGTCTCCAAGGAAAGCTGCCAAGCATGGAGGCACTGGAGGAAGCTGGCACATAAAACAGCTCACCTCTTCCAGGAAGCAGGGCTCTAGATTCCACACCCCTGCCACATGTTCCACGTGGGAGAACCCACTAACTGACTGTCTCATCTTTCTTCTCTGCAGACCAGAGGCCCTTGGCGTCCCTCCCAACTGTGGTCCCTGGGTGTGGCTACTTCAGGAGCAGGGCCACTGCTGTTCTGGGGCCCCACTCACCTGGCTGAAGGTCCGGAAGCCCTGGAGAATGGGTCTGTAGCCTGTGCAGCGGCACAAATTTCCTGTAGGCCAAAGGAAAAGCAGCAGTGTCAGTGTTAGCCCTCGTGGGGAGGGTCTTGGCTGTGCTCAGCTCGGTGTGACTCTTCCTTTACTGCTGTGCTCCCTCTGCACTCTGTTTATCTGCCTGAAAGGCCCTCTTCCTCCATGTTTCTGGCTTCCAAATGCCCATCACAGCTTCCTCTGGGAAGCCTCCCTAGAATTCCCAGACTGAATCTGGCCCCTCCACATTCTCCCAGGGTACCTGGCTAGAACCTTATCAGCGAATTTATCAAACTACATCACGAACTCACTTCTTATTCAGAGTGTGAAACCTTTGAAAGGTCAAACTGAGATTTTCATCCTGTATCCCTGTACCTCCCACAATGGCTGGCATAATGAAGGACTCGAAATAATAGACTGGACAAATGATAGATTGAAATGGTGAATGGGTAGGTAGTCTTCTCTACTCAGTTCAGAGGAATAGACACATGGCTCAGGAGACAGATCAAGAAGCCAGGCCTTGTCCATGGCTCAGAGCCCTGGCCACCTTCCTCACGTGTGGTCTGTGCCCTGGAGACAGGCATTCCAGTGGAAGCCGAGGGAAGGAAGCCATATCACCAGGCTCTGTACAGTTTCCCAAATGCCACCAGTGCCAAGGCCACCCCAATACTGAGGGAGGGCAGGAAGACACCACAGGAAACAGGTGACCTCAGGAGATCTCCAAGCCAACCAAGTATTGTTCAAACTAAGAGAAATACTATCTAGCAGCCACCTTGAGCCTTTCCTCCAAAGTGTTGTCCCTTGCTCGCCTAGCCTGTTCCTAGTGGTCACCCTGGCCCTGTTCTGACCACCTCAGGGCCCCATCTGTCCACCATCCACTTCCTTAGCTGTGTCTGAAGGCCTGTACCTTGGAAGGCATCCTCAATCTCCTCAATGGTGGGCTCAGGCTGGTTCCGGAGCAGGGTGTACATGCTCATGACGATGCCAGGGGTGCAGAACCCACACTGGGAGCCATGGCTTTTGGCAATTCTCTCCTAAAAGGTACAGATGACACAAACATCTGTGTTGACAGAACCCTTCCCTGCTTCCTTGCAGGACCTACCTGCACCCAGCCAGTCACGTTGAGAGGCAGTGGGGGAAGCAGGTTCTCCAAGCCCTGGGGCTTTAGGCTCCTCATCTGCCTAACAAAGACTATCCTACTACTTTCTTCTAAAGATTCAGTGAGATAATTAATGCAAAACACTGTAATTGGCACATAATAAGCAGCCAGTCAATGTTAGCTATTAACAGGAAAGACTCTACAAGAAATAGCAACTATTTTGGGAAGCAGGCTCAGGGAATTTGGGGATTTATCCAAGATCACTCACGTAAGTGGAAGAGCCGTATTGTTCTCCTTTCACCACACTACCCTGCAGTCCAGCTCAACCAACATTCCTAGAGGACCAGCAGAGCACATCTGAGGCCAAGCAAGAGTCCCACTGTGCTCCTGCATTTGTAAGTGAAGGCAACACTTGAAGCTTCGGCAGATATGAGAACTGGGAAATGTGCCAAAGTGAATTTGTTCTATGCTTTGAACGTCATAAAATTCCTATTCTAAGATGGAAGATTTTTACTATAAAGAAATTTTCTTCATCCGTATGACTTTTTTTTCCCCTTCCTTCCTTCCCTTTCTTTCTGTCTTGGGTCCTTAAGTAAAATTTTCAAAATAATATAATCCTGGTATCACGTATCTATTTTTATTGATCTTATGAACATTGACTGAGAACCAGTTATGTAACCATCAATGTAAAGGCACTGAGAACAAAGCAGCAAAGAGGGGAGATAGGAGAGGTCCCGTGAAGTTCACATTCTAGCAGGGGAAATACTGCCAAAAACAAAACAAGTAAACAAACCAAGAAAGGCCAGGCAGAAATCAGCCTGTAGAGAGTTTTTACAGGGCAGCATAATGCAGAGTGGCTGACAGCTACCCAGATTGGTTGGCAAAGGCCACTGAAAATGGGCCTTGTAACCTGAATATAATAACATGATTTGGACCAGAAAAAAAGCAAATCCAGGAAGAGGCAACAGAAAGTGCAAGAGCTCTGAGCACAGAAGGTGCTTGATGTGCAAGAGTTGCTGAAAGGCCAATATGGGTGGGACCTGCTGGGACTAAAGAAGTTGGCCAGGAAGCAGCTCTTCAAGAGCCAAGGCAGGGCTCTGGAACTTTCTCCGTGTATGACAGAGAGACATCAGGGGGTTTAGCAGAAAGTGATGTGATTTGGTTTATGTTTTTAAAAAGTCATTTTGGCTGCTGGGTAGGCAATGGGTTGCGGGGAACAAGAATGGAAATAGGAGGTCAAGATATTGTAGCTGGCCAGACAAAAAGTGATAATGGCTTGGACCAAGAAGCAATAATGAAAACTGATAGAGATGATAAAGATGTCATTATAGGTTTGAGGGTAGAGTGGACTCTACTTCTAGATGGATTGGGTGTAGTACATAAGAAAAAGAATCAAAGGTGATTCCTAAATTTTTATCTTCAGCAACTGGGTGGATGGTTTTGCCATTGACTGAGATGGTAGATTGGGAAAAGAAGAAGCCAGGGGGCAATAACACTTTGATAAGCTTCAAATTAGACAGCCACAAAATTATGCCAAGTAGGTAGTTGGAAATATGAGTCAAACTTCTGAGAAAAGGTTAAATCTAAAGATAGTAATATGCATGCCATTTGCAGGAAGACGGTACTAAGCCCACCTAGGGAAAGTGTAAGGATGGAGAAGAATAGAAAAACCCCAGCAGTTAGCGAATGAGCTGAGGAGGAGCCACACCCAGTGCTGATGTGGAGGTAGGGAGAAAGTAGGAAAGCGTAAGTATCTCAGAAACCAAGAGAAACAAATAAATGGACAAGAAGTTGAATTTAGCTGGAGAGCTGATTTGGACCCAAAACAGGTATAGGAAAAATAAGAGTCTGCATCATAGTAAAGAGAAAGTTTTAGACTGATTCTATAGATACAATCCTTATGTTTAAACTATTCATTCTTTCTTCATTTATTTTAAAAATGACAAGTTGTAATTAACTTTCTCATACCTCATGCAGGTTGGACAAGTTTAGTAATCTCCCCTTTTCCTGTCTACCAAACAAAACTATAAAGGTGAAGCAGTACCATCCCCACCCTGCCCTGACCTTACAGATCAGCCCACGCGCTTCTTCTCCCAAGGAATAAAGCCAGCTGGCTCAGCTGGAGGCCTGGCTCCATGAGTCAGAAGAAGTCCCCATGGAAGACATGCCCTCCTGAAGGAAGTATCTCTCAGATGATCCAGGAAGGATTAAGGCCTAGGCCTAACTCTGGAACCTTCTGTGATTGTAATCTTCCAAACAGCCCTTGCTTCTGCTTCCCCAAGCAAAACAATGGTTTTCTCTTCCCATAGTCCTCTACTCCTGTTTGCCTTCACTTGTCTTAAGAGTTTCTTGACTCTCTCCACAAAACCCCTCAGGTTTCTGCCCACTCTCTCCAAAGGCATTCCCCATATCCATTCATTTTCAGGTGGTCTGATTCCATCAAGGACAAAGCCTCAGTCAGGCACTCATAGGTCTCCATCATCTTATTTAGCATTTGCTTATTTAGCCTCCATTTTAAATGTGAGTAGAGGACTGGCAGACCACAGTTGTATTACCCAGGGGTGAGAAATGAGCGTGCAACTGGGATTACCTCTCTAAAGGACAGGGAGTCTACTCACTTTTTATCAAGCGGCACTGAGAATTTGGAATCTGGAATCTAGAAAGGCTGAAGGTTTCCTAAGCATCATCAGGAACAGAGTGAGGAAGCCCCCCACCCACTCCTCCTCCTCCTCCCAGATCTAGTGCAGAAGGACCACCCCAGCCACCAGATTCTGTTGACCACTGTGTTCCCTTGGGGCTGTGCAATGTTATGTACACCCCAGCCACTGAAGGAAGCTTTGGGCTTGGATGCCTTCTCTTTCCACCTCACGGATCTAGAGGAAATGGGGGTAAAGGGGCTGAGCCACGATGTCTCCATTGCTCAGACAGCAAAACTCCACCCAGCAGCCCAAAACGAATCTGCAGCTTTGCCATGAGCCTCACTGCAAAGTACCCTGATCTCAAGAGCCACAATGCCTCCCCTGCTCACCTGCACAGGATGCAGCCTTGTCTTCGTGCTTCCTATTCCTTCCACAGTCGTCACGGCCACATGATGCAAGGAACAGATGGGGGCCAGGCAGGCATTGACAGAGTAGTGGCTAGACCCTCACATTAAGGTCATCCCACTGTTCATGCAGGTCATTACAGCAGTGCAGAGCCTGCTGGACTTAGTGAGGCTTTGTGTTATCTCCCTCCATGCTACATTATGTGCTCACCTTTCCTACCGGTGTCCTTGCCTCTCATCCAAGAACCTGGGCCAACGACAAGGAAGCCCTCCCCCAGTGCAGCTGAGCCTTTCCAGAGTCCTGCAGGTACATCCTCAGCCTAAAAGCTGGAATGAGGCAGCCAGAGTCACTTTTGGCCACCTCTTGCTCAGCTGGACTGCCCAGGCTGAGCGGAAAGGATGTTTCCGACTGGATATAGAATGGAAGCATGCCCTCTCTCCATGGGGCCCTTTCTTAGCCTGCTTCCCTGCATTCACCTCATTGTATGGGGGAGGGAGGAAAGCCCCAGCAGGAATATGCACCAACCCCTTAGACAGAGCTTCTGCATCCCTTCTTCAGTCATTACCCATTCCCATACACACTCTACATCAGTTTCTGAGGACTGGCCTTACTCCAGCACTGTGCCTACGGCTCAGGAAATAAGGTGAATAAGATGAAACTTCTGTCCTTAAGCAGCTTCCAGTCATACCAGGAAAACAGGAGAGGTGTAAAGATGCAACTGAAAAATCTTTTGGTGACAGTTTCTGAGGGATGAGTGTAAGACACTATGAATCCAGCACAGGAGGGGCAACTGATCCAGTCTTGGCAGGGGTGGGAGTGGTGTGATATCCAGGAAGGTTTCCTGGAGGAGGTATTGTTTTGGTGCAGTCTTAAAGAGCTAGTAAGAGTTTGCTAGGTGGAGAAGTCCTGGAAGAGAAGACCTTCAAGATTTGGGAACAGCTTATGCCAAGATCAAGCAATGAGAAGGCCTGGGGCATCAGAAGAAATTATAGCCCCATAATAGGAAAAAAAATTGGAGAAGAAATTGGGGGTGCACTGTGAAGAAGGTTGGACTCTGTCCTGGGTGCCATGCAAAGCTATTGGAGGATTTTATGGTATGTGATGTTAGCTTGAATTTGAAGACAGTCGTTTCATCAGCAGTTAAAAACAGTCAACACTCAGAGTCCAGGAAGATACAAAACATCATCCTGCAATGTTTGTCCAAGATCAGAGCCCATTCAGAAGCCTGGAGGCTCACATAAATGTGCACACACATACAGCAAACACCCATACACTCACTCACAGTCTGACTCTGCATTCTAGCCCAAGTGGACAATCGAGCAACAGGCAAAGGATACATGACCTTGTTCTGGAGATTATCATACTTGGAGATCATCACTGTGCAAGCGCCGCACCCTCCTTCTCCACAGCCAAGCTTGGTGCCACTCAGCCCCACTGGGAGGTCACGAGTTAAGGAACATGAATCAGGGAGAGGGAAAAGGAAAAGCCTGGCAGAGCCGCAAGCGTAGACTCACCCATTCCCACACTGGCTCATTGTCTTCAACATGGGAGGTACTAATCCTACATCCTCCTTCCTCAGAGAAGCCTCACTACACCACAGGGAGGCAGGAACAGGGCTGTCTCCTCCTCATGGAAGAGTGAGACAGCAGAGTTCCATCCCACAGCACCCAGCAGGATCCTTAGGACCTAAGATCAGGCTTGCCAGTCCCAGACACCTCTGTTGGGGTCAATGTCTCTAGGTGCATCTTACTGAACACGTAAGTCATGCATCTCAGAGACTTAGCTCAAGGTGCTGGGCATATAGCCAAGCCATTCTGGCCTGGCAGTGATCTCTTCCGGGATTTATCAAGTCTTGCTTTTTCACCCTGAACTTTTCAGGCTGATGAAGTCCTGGGAACCAAAATTACGGCTGGCACAGAAGCTTTTGAATATCCAGCCCTGTTATATGCAAATGGAAATTAAAATAAAGATTTTTGAGGTCAGGGACAAGTATTTGGCCCAATTCTTACATATCCTATGGAAATGAATCTGATACTTTGCTCAACCAGTACACTAATCCAGAGAATCGTGTGCTCTCTTTCCCAGGTACACACAGGCAGCCTTGTTGATTTTCACCAGGTCCATAGGCCTTTAAGCTCTCCACTTGCATACTGAAGATGGAGGGAATTGAGGATATTGTCACCAGGTCACTGACTTCATTTTTAAGATAAAGTTAACAAGAAACCATAATATAGCATCTCATTCTGGAAAAGTACTTACTATATCCATATCCCTATCTGATCTTCAAAACAATTTGGTTAACAGATGAGGCAGGAACTACTATTTCCTCACAGATTAGTAGACAAAACAAGCTGTGAGACCCAAGAGGTAACATGAATCACACAAAGGTTGCCATACCTGTCAGAGCCCAACATGGTCATGTGGCTCCAGACCTGGCACACCCCTCCTCCTCCATGCTGCCTCTTTCTAAGCACAAGGGTGAGCGCTTTCTATGTCCTAAATTATTTTTATCACTAGGCAGGATATATGCTTCTATCTGCACTTTAGGCACTTTCAGGGCACAAGAACACAGGTAGTGGCAGCCCAAAGTCTAGCAAGGTCTTCTGGCCTGGAGAATCTTTCTAGAAGCCAGGGTAGAAGTCAAGGCTAAAGTCCTGCCCCACTGGAAATTCCCACAGATTATCCCCCAGCACAGACCACGATAAGCTCTGAGCAGTCCTTAGTTATGTGCCAACTTTCAGCTTTAGATTTCACTTGAATGTTGACCTTTGAACAAGCTGGTCATTATTAAGGAATTTCTGAGGCTTCTAGGCCTTCAAAACTAAACTGGAATCCATAAGAAAGCTAAAGTCAGGCTCAACAACCCCTGAGAATGCAGTCTCTTCCCGGACCTCCCAGGAAGATGGGCTGGAAGTGGAGTTCCTTGCAGTCTCCTGATCCTACCTACTGAATCTTCTGCTGCAGAATCAGCATTATCTGTGAGCCTCTCAACATGCCTACACTGAGCTGTCTGATGGGAGGTGATCCAGCCAGAGTTAAGGCTATGGACTCCAGGCTCACTTCTGTGAGTATGGAACAATTCTTTGTTTTCCTCAAATATGTTGCTGGAAAGAGCCACCAGGCAACTCTCTGGGAGAAAGAGGGGTTCCTTGACTGATGTCAGGATGACACAGTTCTGACAGCAGACCCGTGGAAAGATCGTGGTGTGGGGGAGAGGTTAACGACACACTCTGGGCTTTAGTCCAGGCTCTGCCACCATTTGTTGAGAACACATGAATGAAATGCAGGTCACTTCACATGCCCAGGCCTCACTGCTTTCTCTGTTGAAAAGGAATGTCATACTTCCATAGGATTGCCATGGGGCTTAAGTGAGGTAAGCTATGCAAACCACTTTTAACTCTGGCCATACAGAGCAAGTGCTCATTAAATATCACTTCCTATTATTATTTTTGTTGTCTTTGAAGCAGGGTCTCAATACTTTAATCCTCTGATAGAGCAAGGTACAGGGGTTTTAAAGAAGTCCTCCTCACACTGAGTGAAGAGTAGCACCCCAAGGGTTCTCCTGCTCTTGATACACTCCAGGGTCTGCATAATTCCCACCTCAGGTATCCTTTTCCAACAGATACTCTTTCCTTTGTCTCCCTCTTCCTGAGCAGAGGTGGAAATGTTCCCCAGGAAGTCTACTTGTGCATTAAACAAATGTCACCCAAGGAAGAGCCCACTCCTCCCAGTGAGAATGACTGTGAAGTTCACCAGACCTAGCAAGGGCTTTCTCAGGCATGGGATCAGATTTTGGAATTACTCAACTCCTATCTGGAAGAAATCTCAAAGAACATCATGAACAATCTTCTCATTGGAGAGCTGAGAGTTTCAGACCTAGGGAGCTCCCATGACTGCCGCTGAGTGACACAGCTGCCACTAAAACATCAGACTCCTGATCCACTATTCTTTCCTCCACTCCTCATGGTTGCCCTGCCAGTCACTAGGAAATGACATAAGGTCCAGAGGGTGAGTCGCTGTCACCTCCTCTCCTCATACCAACTCCAGAGTCAGGATACATTTTCTTCTCAGGTAGGCCAAAAGCGTTGTTTCTGGATCTGCATTTTTCTCAACCACCTAACAAAAATAGAAAGAAAATATAGATGTACTTCACCATCCTTCTGCAGCTGATTTCTCCCTTCAGTCTCTCACCCAAGAATTGGTAGCATTAACTGGAATATGCTAGATAGATTGTAAAAACCAAGGTATTTTTCTTGCTGACTCCATAAGAATGAACTATAGGCCAGACTACATACATGATCACATCCTTAATACTCTACATTAGTGCTCAGCTTTGGACCCCCACAGAACACTCAGTTTTATACCTGCTGTGCTGGGAGGACCAAAGTAAAGCCCCTTTTCAAGTCAAGCATGTTATTTCATTCCTCCTGCTGGATCCCACCTGGGAGTTTGACTGCTGAGGGTCAAAATACTAACACTGGCTTTGTCTCTTTGAGTCCACACTATTACACCCTGCATGTGACTATAGAGCCAGTCATTTGGCCACTGCACACAGCAGAGTATTGTATGTGATGCACAATCACAGACAGCAACAAGAACACATGCTAGAAATGAAGGAGAAACCTCAAGCTAAAGATACATCAGTATGTTCAGTAAGGTACAAAAGATTGTATACAAAGTGAGACTCTAGTCCCGAAGGTCAATTGTCAAAGGACATCTGTGAAAACCTATTTCACTACAAGCACATTATCCAGAATGAAAGGGTCTAGGTTAACAAGGTGATCAAGAGAGAGAATTTGTGATAACAGTTTCTTTATAGGGAACTATGAGTCTCACAGCTTCCTAAAGTGGAAGGGAAGGGGGTATCTGTCTCACACCTCAAACTTAGTTAGGGCTGTCCTTTGTTCTGCATAGACAGCCACCATGCCACCTTTGCAGTATTGGAGATATGGTCATCTGGCATATCTAAATAGACTCAACATAAAATTAACAAGCAGTTGAGTGTAGTGGCACACACCTATAATCCCAGGGTTCTGAGAAGCTGAGGCAAAAGGATCACAAGTTCAATCCCAGCCTGGGCAAATTAGTGAGACCCTGTCATCATCATCATCATCATCATCATCATCATCATCATCATCATCATCATCATCAAGGGCTGTGATGTAGCTCAGTGTGAAGGCCCTGGATTCAATTCCTAGTACCAGAAATTTAGACCACCCCCAGTGCCAAGGAGCAGAGCTGCCCCCAGGGCAGAGGAGGTGAACCTTCCAGCCCAGCATACCACCACCCCCAGTGCCCAGGAGGTGAGCCACCTGGTCACCATCAGCACACATATCCTCCCCCCACCCCGTTGAAATGAGAAGACATGCAAACAAGTCTCAAAACCAGATTTGCAGATCACCTAAAGTAACCCCAAAAGGAAACAAGATGGAACAATCTGATACTCAACCACCTGGACTCCCTGAACTGGCAA